AATACATAGATTTGTTTCGTAAATACATACATATTACATATAGAAGAAAACATCCAGACTGATACAAACAATCACTCACGAATACAATTGTTTGTGCCGTGCGAGGAAGCGAACCCGCGACCATCCGATGTAAGGCGGTATGCCAAACTACACCACCGAGGCAGTCTATCTAATAAAAACCCTGCCTGCAATCTCGTTATTTTACAATATTCGATTTTCAATTAAAATTAAAATCACCTATATCCTTCATCATAAACTATAATAACATAAGCTTTGCATTTATACATATCATTACTGTATTTAATAACTAAAAGATTTTTTTTTTTTAAACCCTTAACAAGCGACCCTTCCCGTCTTCACACGGTGCATCCGTTACAAGTCTTTAAACCCTTCAACTTGTTCTATACTATAACACGCATGTATTATACATATAATCCTGCCTCTTGAATCACTCTATCTATTTAAAAAACCGCTTCAAATCCGCTGCAGTTTTAAAGATTTAGCATACATAGGGACAGACAGCGACATCGACTTTATTTTATACTATGTAATGATGATGATATATATATATATACTAGCTGTCACGGCAAACGTTGTTTTGCCTTAAAATAAAAAAAAAATTAGGGGTGGACTACCCCTAACATTTAGGGGGATGAAATATAGATGTTGGCCGATTCTCAGACCTACTCAATACGCTCACAAAATTCCATGAGACTCGGTCAAGCCGTTTCGGAGGAGTATGGGAACGAAAACTGTGACATGAGAATTATATATATATATATATATATATATATATAGATACATTAATAATGCTTTTACAAAAAAAATCGATGCATTTGTATCAGTCTAGTACCCATAACATCAACGAATCAACTTGGGACTAGATGGCGCTGAATAAATTGTCCTTAAATATTATTATTATATATATATATATATAGACGACGTCGGTGGTCTAGCGGTTTAGCACACCGCTTTACGTCCGATGGTCGCGGGTTCGATTCCTCGCACGGCAAAACATTTGTATTCACGAGTATGATTATTTGTATCGGTCTGGATGTTTTCTATATATAATATGTGTGTATTTACGAAAAAAAAATCTATGTACTTGTATCAGTTATCAAGTACCCGTAACACAAGCTTTAGCTAGCTTAACTTGGGACTAGATGGCGTTGTGTATTGGTCTGATATTGTTATTATTATTATATATATGTATATATTTCTGTGGTACATATAGTTTTAGTAGTTTTATCATGTATTCAGATATTAGATATTAATAGAAGAGCATTGTTGTCTGTTCAAAACACGATTGTCATGATATTTCGTTACATACTACGTTATAAATATATTATTTTTAATCATACTCCATCGCTTGACCATTGGTGATCTCACGAGTTCCTATCGAGTATTTATATATAAAAAAAATATTTAAATATAAGCATATAATAATCTATACATATTAATAAAATTGGAGTGTCTGTTTGTAATATTGAAATGACCGTTTTTTACTACATGCATATGAATATAAATACGGTACATACACCAATATAACATTTTTTACAATTTTTATCTGTCTGTCTGTCGGTCTGTTTGTTCCGGCTAATCTCTGGAATGGCTGGACCGATTTCGATGGGACTTTTTTTGGCAGGTATAAGGAATAACATAGACTACTTTTATTTTAGAAAACTTCTCTAATTAACTTTTTGTTAAATTCCACGCGGAAGAAGTCGCGGTTACAGCTAGTTTTAAATATAAATAAACTCGAGGAACTCCTGTGAGATCATACTTAGGCCCCTCACAGCACCATGTGGAAAATGTAGTATACATATAAATATATATTAAACATAAGAATATAGAGTACAGTATAAACAAAACAATATGTTTCATTTACAAACGGTTAGTTGTACTTTCGAATGACAGATAGAGGATTAAAAATATTTGAGCTATACCTTAATAATTGAAAATATCTTTACATCTAATAAATATTGCATTTACTATGTACTTATATATTATAGGCAACTACTGAAGCCCAAAAACACGCTTATAACGCAAGTACCTGCTTCAAGTATAAAATTAGCAAAAAAAAAAAACAATAACAAACATTTATAGGTACAAATATAAACAACTGAATTATTGAATATTCATCAAATTAATAATTCCATAAACTTTCATATAGACGAATCCCGAGAACTAAAATTTATGATTAAAAAAAAAGCTATTGCAATTGTTGAAAAGTTAAATAATCTATTCAAACATTCAATTTGTAAATAAAACGGTTACATTCATAATTTAATGATGTAAATAATTAATTATACATTTAGTATGGTCCTTTATATGTCATATATCTAGTACAATACTGGTGTAATTCAGAAAAATTAAGTTTTTTTAATTTACATTTTAATACAACTTTATTGGTCTGCTCTTATCACTATGACTGATTTAATCTTATTGCATATTTATGTTTGACCCAAATAAATTAGTGCTTGTTGGTAGTTTGTATTCACACGTTCCAACTTGTAAATGTAAACTTACAAGGATTATTTAAAAGAGCAACACACAAGTTTATGCTCGTTCTTCTTGTGATGAGACAGCTTTCCGAACGAGCGGTAGATAAAAAAAATTGTTATGACTATTCAAAAGTGCTTAAATTAAGTTTATTTGAATAAATGATTTTCTATTCTATTCTATAGTTATAAAACTTTCCAAATATTGTAATTTTTGAGTTAAGCTAGTATTGTACTAGACGTGTGAGATTTGTTTTTATAATATCCAAATCACATTGAGATGGCATCTACAGGATGACGTTTAGTCAATAATAATCTTTATTTCTTTAAATATAATTAGTATTTTTAGTTAATACTTTATTTTCTTCTACGTTTAAGTTAGAATGGGCTGTATTGTATAATACTATTTGACATATTTTTGTTTCATTTCGATTTAGAATACCGTTTTCAGAATCATATATTTTATCATACACTCGGATTATCTAGATACATATATTTACATATTATATACATATAATTGTATATTGTATAAATATGAAGCTTTTTGTATATTACATATTAATTAAATTAATATCCATAGTCTGTAGCTACAAGCTTCATGTAATTCATGTATACATATGCCATGTAAGAAGCAATTAACATGCAATAAATTTAATTTGTTGTTAACAGGGCACATATCTTATGCATAACAATAAAAAACTTGTACAAACCCATTTCATTGCAATGTTTCATCACTGTCATTCAAAATAAGAAAGTAGTTAGCAAGAACAGGACAAAACAGTTAGAAAAACAAATAGGTTTGATACTAGTTTTCCATCATTGTGAATAAAGCTTCAATTACAATTTAAATGAATCACTATCATATATTTTAGATCCAGGGACCTGTCTATTAGCGACTCATTTCATATACAACATCTTATTATATAATATTATATGCTACACCACATATACAGATATAGTCGATGATAAAACTTTAGTGACAATATACATTTGATATGTAGCACTATATACAAATATTGTATATAGTGTCAGTGGAACTTAACATAATCGCTACATTTGAATAAATAATCATTATACATCTAACAAGCATTATATAGAATTAGTCGGACAGTATATACTAAGCCTATATATGAATCCTTCAATTCTAGTACCCGACGGATCTAGGTAGCGAGAAAGTATGCCAAACCGATAGCTCCTATGAATATATATTGTAAATAAAACTGGCTTTTAAAAAAAAAGTCATTCAATTGAGTTTCTTGTCAGTTCTTTTCAATTGGACCTATATACCGAACGGGACGGTAGGGAAAAAATAAAATGTGTAATGTAAAAACTTGACGTTCATAAGCGGCTAAAATGTCCTACATGAATAAATGATTTTAGAATATGAATTTGAAAATTTTTCATATCTTTCAATTCTTGTCTCTGACAGGTTTAGGTAGCGAACTCTGAAAAAGGACGAGCACAATAGATCTATGTAGGTCGCAGTGCTACAGGTGCTACAAACTCCTGACAATAGGGGGGAAAGGTGATTGGTCATAATGTGGATTTATGACCTCATAGCTAGCAATGTACCATGTCAGGTTGACCTCCACGCCCCCCTGGAAACCATCCTGGTAAATTCCTAAGGTTTATAAATTTCTAGTGAATTGGTCACGATGGGCTAACTGACCTGACCTCATGTTCATCTTATCATCCTCCACTGGTGCCCCGCCAGCGTAAACCGTTAGCGCAGGCGGTTACGTTACATTATCATCCACAAAAAAAAATCTCCTGAAAAAAATCCGGTAGAACTGATATATTTTAAATATTTACTAACCAACTGTGCCCTGGTTTCGCTCGCGTCTAATTTGTAGCCCATTTGTTTTTCTTATGTATAAGCTATATCATTGTAATTTGATTAAAAAATATTTATTTATTTATTCTTTTACACACAGAATTGTATAGATGGCGGATTTAATGCCTGATGGCATTCTCTACCAGTCAACAGTAGCGTTGATCAGAGATAATAAGGCGGTGCAATTTAATAATTAATATATAAAGAAAATAAATATAAATAAATACATTATGTAGTTTTTGCATGAAAGAGTAACATCCAACAATATTAACAAACATTCCGAGCGATATTACTTCTGAAACCTATTATTTTTTTTTATACAAAAATCTTGTATTATTATTACAAAAAATCGGCAACCCTATTCTTTGGTTCAATCAAAAGCCAACGCTGTTTATAGTTAGATTAATAAATAGGGGTGTAACAAAAAAAAACATACCACTTATTTTCATTAAAAAAACAAATGTATAACAAAATTTTTCTATTATGATAGGACTGATGACAGCTGATACTAGGGATGTGATTGCATTTTTAATTAAATAATTTTGAAACTCGAAAAAGTATATACTTTTTCGATATATGTATATACTTTTTGAAACTCGAAAAAGTATATACTTTTTCGTGTTACAAAATTATTTATTAGTATATATATAGAATGAGTCGTTCCGATGTGTACGTCCATAATTGCGACTTAGTATACCCTATCCGACTGACCCTGCATAGAATATATATTGCGCGAACTATACATATAACTTTCATACAATGAACAAGAGAGCGCAAAAAGAACGGAGTGTTAATTGAATGTAGTCCATCCCTTGGGTAGGGTTGTATTGTCGTTGGCACTGGTACTAGAGCCGGCTGGCTCCAGTCCGAACTGGCTGAAATCCAATCCGTACTCGTGTAACAGGGCACTGTCCGTGGATGACTTGGACTTGATTGGATCATTCCTATCGCGACACTTGAGGGGATCGAAATCTTCTAAACACGTTGGCGAATCGTCCAACTTTATGAGATCACTTATAGAGCCACACGACTGAAAAAGAAATTCCTGTGTTAAACACAAAGCGACATATACGCCCACACAGTGCTCACTGAATATTAGATTTAAATACATATATTTTAGAGTATAATTTTCATTAGTGCAATTCAACATATATTAGTTACAACGGCACAAATAAATTTACTGTCCGTTATATTTTTGTGGACTTTTTTCAGATAATTCAATATTATGTATTGTGTAAATATGTTACACAAAAATTGAAATACATATAATATTAGATGTATTTTTACATTATTATTGTTTAATTACTACATTTAAATTTTGAATATTCCAACTTATAAATACAAAAACGTACTATATGAATATATACAATGAGGAATACTAATGAAAATCTTAGTAATGATATAATTAAATAAATGTTTAGTAAATTTAACACTTATTTAATAACTACCCCTTTACAAAGTACTGGAAAATAATAAATTTATTATTCAAACCAAAACACATACTAAAACTAAAAGCAACATTTATCGCAAAGCACCACGAGTATATAAGCGTTATCAATAATATAAATTGTGTATAATTTAAAAATATGTATAGAAAATATAAATTTTGTTAAGATATATCATGCATTAGCGAAATATATGGTAATAGAAAGTCTAACGGGAATAGTGCTAAATTCAGAACGTAAGCAACATTTCAGATTTATATATTACGATGTAAAAAAAGGTTACATTTAGCTAGTCAGTTAAAAAATTATAAGTCAATAGTAAACATTAATATTAAGATAAATTTTAATTGTATTTATTAATGTGACAATATTGATTATTTTCAAAATATTACTTTAAATTTCAAAATTGATAAATCTACTATTTCTTTCGGCAATCAATTAAACATCATTAGTTTTATAATAGAACCTTCTTAATAAATTTTGGTAGTCCTTACTTTTGGTGTAACAAGTGGCTTATGCACAAAAATATAACAAAATATATAGTGATATTTTGTTATAATATAACAATGTATTTAGTTGACAAAAACAACATACTATTTTAAAATGTCCAATTTGAATATAGATTTAGAATACAAATAAAAAATATAATAATTCATGTAATAATGATTTGTTTTTGTCAACTAAACACATTGTCATTTATATTATTTACGCAATATTAAGCATAATTAATATATTATAACAAAATATCATATATTTTGTTATATTATATATAAGCCACTTTACGTTACACCAAAAAAAGATTGGCAAAATCAAAATATTCTTTTTTAGTTATAATTGGAACTTATATTTTAACATTTTGAATACTATTTTAATTTTGCATTTTCATTAATTGTCATATCACTTACGCATTATTAAGCATTATTTCCGTCAGACCTATATATTATTATTATATTAACAATATAAAACGTCATTCAGTCACGGATAAGTCATCAGTCGTTAGTCAAAACGTCATACTCGTGCAGAGTAATATGTATATCTAATATCAAAATGAATATGACCAAACGCGCACTAAACATAAAAGCAACCGTTGCTACTATTTGGTTATGAATTTAAGAGTAAAAGTGGGATTTTTTAAATTATTAACCGGGTCTTAATACGAATAATTTTATGGCAAATAAAGTTATTTACCTATCTCGACGTTTCGACTAGGCACTAGCTGTGGTTACCAGCTGGAGCAACAGCAATGTCAATGTAGTCAAGTGACAGCAGTTTTTTATCTAGTCACACACGCGGTATCCATACACTTATCGACTGTTGATGCCACTGAACTTTGCTTGAATTTATTTACCCTGCTGTGTTGCGGTTTTTCGTTGAACAATCTAGTGACGGTAGATGATAAAACTGCTGTCACATGTCTACATTGACATCGCTGTTGCTCCAGTCAGCTCGTGACCACGACTAGTGCAACCGAAACGTCGAGACAGGTAAATACCTTTATTTGCCATAAAATTATTCGAGTTACGACCCGGTTAATAATTTAGTAATGTATATTAAACGCGAAAGTTTAAAAATAACCATTGTGAAAGTAGGATCTCATCGTGTTACAAGCACTAAATGCAATACAGCAACATCTGTTGCTTTGTTATCCAAATATTAAATTGTTCTCCAAAACGTCACAAGATGGAAAATATATAGGTTAATATGCATTAGTCGGCAAAACGTACAGTCCGCTTCGGAACTCAGACATAATGCCCGGTAAATTATCCATCGTCAAAGTATATTTACCTTCACAAGAGGAATTATACTATCTTCTTTGCGTAGTTCTGTAGATTCCTACTGAGCGTATTCCTCTGTTTGTTAATTATTCTCTATAAAAGTGCATCTGCTAAACTTGAACCTTGAGTAATTGCACTAAGGTTTATATTCGTCGTACTGCAGAATATTTGATTGCATTTAAGACAGAACCACGTGTTTTTCATACCACTAGATTTCTATGGGACAGGTTGAAAGGGGTACTGAGAAATGACGTCGTAAGTAATAAAGGGACAACGTTGTTATGTTAGAAATATATTAAACATTAATTAATTAACAATAATTGTAAATAGATACATATTATTTGATTAATATAATTCCGTAATGTTAGTGCAAACAAACTCCACTCTTGTACTTCATATATTGTGAATGCATTAATATGTACTTAATTCCGTTTTACAATAAGATACAAAATCGATATGACTACAAATGCACATATCACAATTACCTCTTGAGCATTCCATTTGGGGGCGACGGTTGCTAACTTATTATCGTGACTCTGCCTACTGTTCACAGAGGACGCGTTTCCATTGCACGGCAACGTGTTAATTTGCGGTGCCTTTCTCTGGTTGGACGACATGGTCAGTTTAAGTTTAGCCTTGTCTTTCCCTTCCGTGAACCGTATAGCGCTCGTGTGAAAGTCCGTATCCGGTTGGACGGCGTTTTTTGTAATGTTTCTTACAAAGTTGGATCTTTGAATTGGCGGCGGGATTGCTCGCGGTGGAGGCGCCGGCGCGTCCGACAAATCGACAAGTTTCCTCGTGGAAACGATTGGGTACCGAAGGGGGGGGTGAGGACGTTCCGGTAACCGGGGTGGGGGGCATGGTGACAGTGTTCTCTGCAAAACAAAATTACATAATGTGCCACGCTGCCAGTGTTGCCAGTCCTACCCGGGGAATCTCACGATTAAACTAAAAATTACCAATTTTCCACTTCCATTTTCACACCAACAATGCACACAATATTGTAGACTTATAATAACAACAAAATAATTGTAATTTTAAACACAAACTACAGACAGACTAACCAATCGTTATTAAAATAAATCACAATGAAATTTTCATATTTTCCGATATGATTAACTTCTGAAATATAATCAATTTTCTTATCGTACCGTATAAATTGCAGACATTGGATCAGGCAACACTGGCCGGTACTCCTAGACTTCATGCTAATAACGCATTCATAAAAACACACGAACAAAACTCAAACTAAGCAGAGTACATGTTTGGCAAACTTTACTTGTAATGAAAAGCACGTCTCAAATGATTGGCATCACTATAATTACTGAAGCACCGATTTGATAATCCTTACAATAAACAATATACATCAAAAAGTCATTTCTTAAAATTGTGCTAAACCATATAAACAAAATATCATTATATCCTTTTTCAAATTTGACACATCATTATTTATACGTAAAAACAAAAATCAAGGGATGTTACCGTTTTTTATTTATATTTATTGAGTTCTCGATATTAATTATCACATGCCTAATCCTTGTTATCCTGATATTGTTGCACGCCTAATCCTTGTTAAGCTATATTTATTTAGAACAACATTTATTTAAAAGAGAAACACGCAAGTTTCTTGTTCGCTCTTCGTGTGATGAGTATGCACACAGAATGAGTGGTAGAATCAAAAAGATGTGACTATTCAAAAGTGCTTATATAAGGTTTATTTTAATAAACATTATTTGTATTAATTATCAATAAAAATAAATAAAACGAGATAAGATCCCTTGATTTTTCTTAATTTTACGTATAAACATACGATTATTCTACTCTAATTATTCCAATTTATGTAGCTAAAGAATAAAATGACAGTAGTATATCAAAACTGTACTTCTATGTAACAAGAAATATAATTTCTATCATAACTTATGTAGATAATATATATTTTTTTATATTTCTGTACCTAATATTAACTATATACATTATACTATATTATTCTCATTACAGTCAAACCATAAATTACGATACACTTTGAGACGGAGGGGAGGAAATCCACAAAGTGGAACTGTGACAATGAGGATCGCCCCCGACCCTAATTGTCACAAACAGGATTTTTCGTCACGTCACTCTATGGATGATAGGAGTGCATTAATGTGACTTAGTGTGACAAGAACGAAGTGAATGCCCAAAATACTACGTAATTTATGGATTATTCCTTAACTGTAAAAAATACTGATATATAAGTACATATCATCGAAAGTTATGATACAGATATAGAGTATGTTACTATAAAAACGACACAAGCTAGCAATACGTTGCCATACCGAAATGAGACATATCACATACATAATAAAACTTAAATCAGACACACGTACATGAATTTACATACAAACTAAGCGTGTCATTACTAAACTTGCCTCAATATTACAAATACTATACTAATATAAATCCTGATGGCACTAAAATACTGATAATTACTATTTTTATATACTCTACATTTTAAAAATAAGGTATAATTTAAGGCAAGAAATGACACGCAAAGCACATGCAATACCCTAATATATTTGTTACAAACTCCTCAGTACTTTGTTTTATATTATATTTACATTTTGAGATCACTTAACACCAATTCTACAGTTTCATTTACTACAATTCACAATTTTCTTTACTCGATCCGGCTCGAAGGCCCAATTTTTTTTTTTTAATAATCATAGGAATAAAAGAAGTTTGTAACACTTATTATGTGTTGATGGACCGTATCCAGATTATTTTATTCCGAACTCACCGCCTTCTCTGGCATGCTTATGTCCAAGTCGCGCGAGCTGTTGGGGAAACTATCCCGTCGTTGTACATTGCTGCTTGACAATAGAAACTCCATTTCTGTGAGGAGGTCGAGTGGGATGGTGGGTGGTGGATCACGAGGCGGGGGCTCGTGTGACGGTGACGAGTCAGAGGAATCTGAAGACACCGGCGTCGCTGAGCCACACGAAAACCTGTTACAAAATATATAATTTAATAATAAGAATATTTATTGCAAAGAATTATCGATTGTGCGTATCTCAATCGATAATTCATGCGATAAGGATACGGTTTCTATCTCAATTGTCGCATGCCTAATCTTTGTTAATGTGTATTTACATAAAACGATATTTATTAAAAATAGGAACACGACTCGCGAGTTTCTTGCTCATTCTTGTGATCTGCGTTTCTAATGAGTGGTAGAATAAAAATATATATAAGTATATAAAAGTAGTAGTAATTGTTCTGCGTATGCATGTGTATGTATATATGTATGTGTGTGTGTGTGTGCATACATGTATATATGTTAATTGTAGATGTCAAAATGTGTAAATGTATGTTCATATCAATAATGGTTGTCAATAAATGTTTTTCTTTTCTTCTCTTTTCTAGTTTATATTAAGTTTATTTGAATAAAGATTGTGTTTATTCTATTTTCTTGTGCCTACACTTGTAATATTTCTGTCAACAGTTGACGCCCTTCCATTACGTCTCCATATGATATAAATTTATGTTCAGTGTAATGTCAGTCCACGTTACGACTCCGCGTGGAATGTACGCGTTACTAATAAGCCATGTAGCACACTAACAAATAAAGTTACTAATGTACAATAAATAGTACAATTATTTCATCGATATACTCACTATCTAGATACGGTAATAAAAATCCCATCAAAAACATAAATGTGAAATGATAGCCAAGTTCAATATTATGATATATGCCTTGATGGTTGACTTCAACGACAAAAGAAGTGAGATATAAAAGGGGGTCAAGTTCAATGGTCAGTCCTAAAATTTATTTATAACAATATAAAATATCACATCCTATAACTTAGGATAATATATTGTAGCCTAAGGTCTGACTTGGCTTGTTTTCATATACGAATTATACTATAGCCGTCGCAAGTTCTAAATCTGTTACTTGTCGGTTCCTATTTTATTATTAGTAGTAACTAGCCATCGAAAGTAATAATTGGTATATGAGAACTAGCCAAGTCAGACCTTAGGCTACAATATAATATCATACCTACTCTTTTCCTTTGTATTCACCTAATTACATATCTGCATGCCAAATTTTAACATCCTAGGTCATGTGAAACTGGGTTATAATTTTGATCTATAATTGAGTCAGTGATAAAAATGTCGATTTTTGGATGTTATATCTAAATAACCGTTTAGGATGTGTTTATGAAATTTAGAACACATATTTATCTCGCAAGTCTCAATGTATGAACCAAATTTGACAGGTTTATGTGACAGAGTTTTTGAGTTATGAGGGGGTCAAAAGTGGCTCGAAATGGTTCGTGTAAAACTACACACGGTGCTGCTCGTCAGTTCTCTTACTTGAACTTGGCTTTGAGACTTGGCATTAAATCCATCATAAACACAATTTTGTAATCTACAGATATAAATAAAATTGGAGTGTCTGTTTGTAATATTGAAATAACCGTTTTTTACTACATGCATATGAATATAAATACGTTACACACAACAAAATAACATTTTTTACAATTTTTGTCTATCTGTTTGTTCTGGCTAATCTCTGGCTGGCTAATCTGGACCGATTTTGACGGGACTATTTTTGGCAGATAGCTGATGTAATAAGTAGTAACTTAGGCTACTTCTATTTTAGAAAAATAAAGTTAATTTCCACACGGACGCAGTCGCGGTAACAGCTAGTAACAAATAAATAAATTATGACGTACCTGCTATCATCCATAGTGTTGATCGAGGACGGCCGCGATCCAGTTTTAGGCATTTTATTTTTTAACCCTTTGACTGCCGACTTCATATTTTTACCACCCTGGCGGACCTACATTAAAACAATTATAACAATTAACACTTAACAATAACTGGTTCTAACAAATAAGGCAAACATGATTCAATAAATAAATATTAAATATATCACCATATAATTGTCACATATACATATAAAGATACACCGGTTCAAACATATATATACTATATACCAGATTTCATATAGTTCATAAGCGTCATAAGGGCTGCACAGACATAAAATAGTTCTCGAGATACAATCTAAAATATTATTAGTTTCAAAGCGGTATCCAGCATGTTAACACATTATGAGCGGAGCAAGTATTTTACCCGTGTTAATAAATATATATATTATATGTATATATAAAATTCTCGTGTCACAATGTTAGTCACCATACTCCTCCCAAACGGCTAGATCGATTTTTATGAAATTTTATATGCATATTCAGTAGGTCTGAGAATCAGCTACTACCTATTTTTCATTTACTACTACTATTATATCTTTAAAAAAATAAGGGTTGGTGTTAGAAGGTTGAAAATTTAGGGTTGTATGTATTTTTAATGACACATTATAAAAAATAAAATTTTTGTTCTAAAAATAAAAAAAATGCTAGGTAATGGACAACCCTTATAACTTAGGGGTATGAAAAATAGATAGTAGCCGATTCTAAGACCTAATGAATATGCATATAAAATTTCATAAAAATGTCAAGCCGTTTGGTAGGAGTATGGTAACTAACATTGTGACACGAGAATTTTATATATAACATAGAATTCTGCACTCTTGCTGTATATTATAACAATAATATTGTCTCAGGACAATCCCCACAGCGCCATCTAGTCCCAAACTAAGCAGAGCTTGTGTTATGGGTACTAGACAACTGATATAAATACATGGATACATTTTTTTTTGTTCTTCCAGTAGTTTTTGCGTGCTAATGTAACAAACATTAACATCCATACTCATAAACGTTTGCGTTTATAGCGTTAGTAAGAAATGATATTTTAAATAAATTTCAGTTAACTTATTTTCACTACATATTAATTCAACTACTACATATTCCTGTTAAACTGAATTATTTGTCTGTTATTCACTTGTAATCCTTCACAAGTACAATACTTAACTTTCTTAATATCTTAAATTTCATCTTAACTTTAAACGTGGTTATACGACTTCAAATCTACTTTTTAAGCTTCACTCAAAACTTAATTTTCAATTTTTCTTTAATTTTAACTTATTCTTATTTTTTTAAACTATTGCAACTCTATTAAAGTGTCCTGTTTTTGAACTAAAATGTATATACAAGTTCAGATACCGTTTTTTTTAAATTGGGGTTGGCAACCCTAGATCGCTGTATACTAGTTTATTAAATAACTATACTATTATTAAACAATTAATTGTAGTTTAAAAAGGCGTAGAATACAGTATGATTCACAATATGCGGTTGCATGCAATAAATACCGTTTACAGATCCTGTAACAACCCAGTTTAGGCAACAATTTTGATTCACCTCTGATATTGTAAACTTAGTGGAATGTACATTATTTATAATACGGACAAACTCGATTTTTGTTATTATTATATATAAAAAAAAAATTCAATGGTTTTAAAAAAAAATCAAAATTTGCCGATTTTATATTCACCTATCTAGGTGATGATGATCAATCTATCGATGAGTAATTTGGGCAGTATATTATTAAAAAAAACTCCTAAGATAGTAATAATAATAAAGCTGGACCATTCACACAGCGCCATCTAATCTCAAGCTAAGCAGAGCTTGTGTTATGGCTACTAAACCACTGATTTTACCTACACTTTGAATTTTTTTGTACATATATAATATAGTATAATAGAAAACACCCAAACCGATACAAACAATCGTAGTTATGAATACAAATGTTTGTATCGTGCGGGGAATCGAATCCGCGACTATCGGGAGTAAAGCGGTATACCAAACCGTTAGAATACCTCTTTTTTCTTAAGTTCTTTTTTAATGTGATTCTTTTATTCTCCGGGATTGTATCTTTGTCTCCGTGATTAACAAACAGACATCAGACTATACTTCAATTCAATTCAATTCAATTTATTTACTGGAACATGTGTACATAATGGTCTTAAGATTATAATAGTTCCAAACATGCCCTGCCGTTTCCGGCGTGTAAAATCTTACAATAATATTTATTACATTTACATTATTATCACATTTTTATATTTAAAATTATTATTACAATACATTATTATGAAATTATTTTATTCACTTAGTAGGAAAGGAAAAAAATACTATTTTTACCATTTTCTTTAGTTCTTTTTAATGTAATTCTTTTATAAATACGTAGTCCTTATAAAAGAATTACAAAAATTTACCTTATTACCTTATATAAAAAACATCTATTAAAAAGAGCAACACACAAGTTTCTTGCTCATTCGTCTTGTGATGAATCTGCATTCCGAATGAGTGGTAGAATCAAAATATGACTATTCCAAAAGTGCTTGTAATGAGTTTATTTGAATAGAGATTATTTCTATTTCTATTTCTAAAAATATAAGCCTATTTAAAATTGGCAAAATGCTGGCAACATAAGTGTACAGGACTCCTTACATTCGGGCCATTGGCTAGTACGATAGTTCCCTATTTTTAAATATTTATATTTTTGGCAAACGTAGTTTTGCCATATAAATTAAAATCGCTATTAAAAAGTAGAGATTTATGCTAGAATGGTGTCAAAAAAAAAGAGATGTATGTATTTTTCAATTCTAAATAATAATAATAAAATGAAAATAAAATATTACATCGAAAAAATAAAAAAAATATATTTAAGGATAGATATCCCTTAGAGGTATGAAAAATAGATAGTAATCGATTCTCAGACCTACTGAATATGCATATAAAATTTCATAAAAATCGATCAAGGCGTTTGGGAGGAGTATGGTAACTAACAATGTGACACAAGAATTTTATACATAAGATATTGGTTGCTATGGTTTTGTTGTAATTCCTTCTACTATTGCTCTTGCTCTGTATATAATAGTTTAACGACATATATTTTTATAATATACTTTTACTTTTACATATTTCGCCTTTAATGCCCACCATCGATGGCTGCACCGACCCTAGCCCCTATCACAGTATATACACAGTCCCACAGAATAGATAATGTCAAATTTGTATTCAATATTAAAATACAGACTATAGTTCACATAGTAGCAAAGAAAAAAACTAGTGTAATTTATAAACTGTGCCAAGAACAATCTATTTTTTGCATTTGAGGTCTTGTCACGTGCAAAATTCAAAATATCTTTATTCATGTAGGTCTATTACAGACTCTTATGATATGTCAAATCTACCGTCAGTTCGGAATGATTTCGAGATGAGAAGAACTGACAAGAAACTCAGCTCGTATTTTGAGACTGTGAACAGGGATGAATGGAAGAGAAAAACATATTACGCCGACCACAAATAAATGGTATAAGGAAGAAGCAGATGATGATGATGATGATGATGATGCTTAAGTGATTTTTAATTTCATTTATTTGTACGACTAACAAGACAGACTATACAACTACTATGAGGTTACAATTAGTATTACTTGCAAAAGGTTCAGGTATATAGTGTTCACTTCATTACTGGTTTCCACGGCATGCGTAAATGTTTACAGAAGTTTATATATGTACACATTATTTTTTTATTTTATTTTACTTTATATATATTTATATATATTAAAATTTTTATTTTAATTATTTTAATTTATTATTTTGAATAATTGAAATTATAATTGTGACATAATTATCATACAAAAAATGTATAAAGTGTTATTGTATAACAACATGTTTACATTTCAGTAGTAGTTTTTTTTTTAAAGTCATTTTTGAAAAATACGTAGTCCATAAAAGTACAGTCCACCAAATATTAAATACCAGAGGCGCAACGGTTTCATCGAGGTCGTGAGAGTACAACAGTGTTCTCTAAACTCACCGTTTTCACAGCCGATTGTACTGCTGGATTGGCCTGTAAATATTCACAATTTAAAGCCAAAGAAATATCAAGTACTTACAGCATGCAAGCGTTACGTAGGTAAGGGCTGCCATTAAGTTGTTTATATAATATATAACTTCATTTATACAGAATATGTCTTCATAACTTCATATTAACAGCTTTTAATTATATACATATATATATATATATTTTTATTTTATTTAGGTACAACCATTGTAAGTACATGTAAAATAGCTACTTGCAAACGTTGTTTTACCGTATAAGTTAAAAGCGCTTTTTAAAAATAGAGGTTGGTGATAAGGGTGTAAATTTAGGGTTGTATGTATTTTATAACGCCACATTATAAATAAAAAACAAAAAATATGTTAAGAATTGACAGCCCTTATCACTTAGAGCTATTCTCAGACCTACTGAATATGCATATAAAATTTCATAAAAATTGGTTAAGCCGTTTCGGAGGAGTATCGTAACTAACATTGTGACACGAGAATCATTACATAGTATAAAACAAAGTCACTATTGCTGACTGTCCATCCCTATGTATAGTTAAATGTTTAAAACTCGGCAACCGATTTTAAAGCGGCTTTTTAAATAGATAGAGTGATTCAAGAGAAAGTGTTATATATATAATACATGTACCTACAGACGTGCGAAGCCGGGACGAGTTTTATAGGGACTAGTTTTATATATAAGATATAGAATGTAACCAACAAGTACTGAAACGTAGATATAATATGAAATACAAACATATTAAAGTATATACGGTACATCAATAACATATTTGAAAAAGTTTTGTCTGTCTGTTTGTCTGTTCTTGCTAATCACTGAAACGGCTACACAAATTTGACAGGAGTTTCCCTCTCAGAATGCTAATGTTATAAGGAGTATTATAAGATACTGTAATAATGTGTATATAGTGTAATTTATATATGTTCAGCCATAAGCTTATGAATAGTTAGATATAGTAGATTGTTCTAAACTGAAAATAATAGTAATACACGCTTTCAAATAAATAAATTATTCACAAATCCGAATAGCAATTAATAAGCAATAAAAAAATATATATTCAAATTGAGATCCTCTTTTTATGGAGTCGGTTAACAATACATTATTCAACTGGAGTGATAAACAAGCTAACTCATCACCGTTTGTGTCATCATCACAGTCGTTTGTATGAATAATCGTTACTATAAGTTGGTAACGATTGTTGTATGAACAATCGTTACCATAAGTTGGTAACGATTGTTCATACAAATGAATCGGAATTATTTTTAATTTTATATGTTTCTGTAATATAACTAGCTGTATCTGCGACTTCTAAAATAAAAGTAGCCTAAGTTACTCCTTATTACATCAGCTACCTGCCAATAAAAGTCCCGTCAAAATCGGTCCAGCCATTTCAGAGATTAGCCGGAAGAAACAGAGAGACAAAAATTGTAAAAAATGTTATTTTGGTGTATGTACCGTACTTATATTAATATGCATGTAGTAAAAAAGGTTATTTCAATATTACAAACAGACACTCCAATTTTATTTATATGTATAGATGACTTTATACCTACTCTGATTTATTACTATGTGTTTTAAAAACAATTTTTATGATTGTTGAAGAAACTTACTAAAAAGTGTATAATAATTAACTGTAATATGGCAATACCAAATAATGTTCGTAGAAAATAGTAGCAATTAATAAACTTTATAAACGTAATGGCAACCCTTCGAAATGAAATATGTTAGCTAATGTTAAAAGAAGTAGAAGACAGTGTGATAGGACAAAATAGAAGTTACAACAATTGAACTGTACCCAATTGTTCAAACAAGGCGCTATTTTCATATAGATAAGAATTTTTATATATTACTACACACATATAGGTTTAATTACAAATTGTATACAATACAGATTATTCAAACCAATTTTCCCAAAGTGGTCTATATCGACCCCCAGGGGTCTATGATAAATTGCAAGAGGTCTACGACAGTGGTCATACTATTGTTTTTAACAGGGATGTTATGGATATGAAATTTTGGATACGGATACTTATAGTTAGATAGTATCAGCGTGTAAGAGTAACAAACATACATACTTACAAACCTTCGCGTTTGTAATATTATTAAGACAAATATAAAAGCAATACGATATTCAATATCTCTTTATTCATATAGGTCTATTACAGACTCTTATGCAGGGATGTTATGGATATGAAATTTCGGATACGGATAGGTTTCGGATATAGGAATGATTATTATACCGGATACGGATGCGGATATGAAATTATTTCGGATTATCCGTTAGTTTCGGATAATTTTGTATACGGATATTATTTTTTTAAGGAATTTCAAAAGTAAAATACAAATAGCTAAAATGGTTACATATCTATTACACTCCTATGCAGGGATGTTATGGATATGAAATTTCGGATACGGATAGGTTTCGGATATAGGAATGATTATTATACCGGATACGGATACGGATGCGGATATGAAATTATTTCGCATTATCCGTTAGTTTCGGATAATTTCGGTTACGGATATTAATTGTTTAAGGAATTTCATAAGTAAAATACAAATAGCTAAAATGGTTACATATCGTGTCTCTATTAGGCTCCGCCGCTACCCGATATTATCCGAAACTTTTATTTCGTATTCGGTTCCGGTTACGACTATTTTTTTATATCGGATATCCGATAGTTTCGGTTACGTAGTTCCCTAACATCTCTGGTTTTTAACACTAAACTTTACTACAGTTAGAAATTTACAAGATCAAAACCAGGTAAGAATGGGGGGTCTACCCAAATCCGAAATATGGTAAGGGGTCTACAACACAACATTTTGGGAACCTCTGATTTAAAACAATACAATATAAACCTGCATGTGTGTGGTACAGGAATACAAAGAGGTACACAGCTCAGAGTGGAGAATCACTCAAAGAGCAGCTGATTTCTAGATATCCCAGCTGTTATTTACGTAATCAATTAAATATTAACACATATAATTTCCATCCCAGGGAACTAAAACATGGAGTTAATCATCGCCCGTTGAACATTTTTCCTGATGACGACAGGGAAAAATCATAGAGGAATAAGTAATCATTCACAATTAGGCAAGAAATGATTATTTTTTATACCTCTCACACATTTCTTTTTCGCGAGGTATGTACAAGAAATCCTGATGATGGCAGGGAAAAATCATAGAGAAATAAATAATCACTTCTGCGAGGTATATTTGTATATACCTCGTAGAAGACAAATGTGTATGGTATAAAAAAGATAAATTTCTTGCCTAATTGTGAATGTGATTACTTATATCTCTATGATTTTTCCCTGTATCCTTGTGGATATACATAGATGCAGGTACCTTATCCTTGACGGTTTTTAAGAAGGCCCCGCCTTCTTTTTTGACAGTCTTGGCCCAGTCCCGGTACTGTTGCTTCAGTCTCTGCCCGCTGCCTGTATTTAATTTATCAGCGTAGTAACTGCATTCAATCTCAAACTCGTCGCTGAAACCTCGCCCTGAATTTAGTAGGTCCAGCCTTTCGTCTATAAACTGAAAGAAACAATTGTAAATAGTAATCTAATTTTATAATATACTAGCTGAGTTTATTTTTCTAAAAGAACAGTAGTCTAAGTTATTACATTAGCTACATGACAATAAAAGACCCGTCAAAATCGGTCCAGCCATTTCAGAGATTAGCCGGAACAAACAGACAGACAGACAGGCAATAATTGTAAAAATGTTATATTGGTGTATGTACCATATTTATATTCATATGCATGTAGTAAAAAACGGTCATTTCAACATTACAAACAGACACTCCAATTTTACTTATATGTATATACTAGCTGAGAATGCAAACTCCGTTCCACCTCAGAATTAAATAATGTCATGGGTTTTTAAGTTTAGTAAACCAATACATATCTGAACCTGTTAGACCTGTTTACCTGTTTGACAGGTACGAACAGTTTGTATGGGAAAATAAAATTGTTGACTTTCTAGTTTGTATGCAATTTCTTCATATTTTATCACCGTTTATACCTTCACTGGACTTCCACGAATATTTCAAGTAAGGGGTTTGAAAGGGAAGGTTGTATGGAATAATCGTTATTTTTGAAGCTAGAAAGTTGATACTTATTTTTAGGACTACTGATTAATTACATATATATATATATATATATATATATATATATATATATATATATACGACATTCAATGTTTGTAAGAAAATTAACCTTAGGGGGTAAAGAACTTTGCCATTTTTTAAGCTAGAACAATCATTTTTACTTTGGCTTAGCTTAATAAATATTTTTCTTCATTTGGTCACTACTCTAATGTTGTTGGCCGCAGCTGGCCTTTACAGCTTCACCGGACGTTAGGGGCGAGTGCAGATGGCACTCCAAACCAAAGGAAGGACTTATGGAGCGGCTGAAGGCCAACTCCTGCCCGACGGATACGACTTTAGTCTGAGGGCACCACTAGGGGTTCGAACCTCGGCTCAGACCGTCGTAATATCGATCCCCGTTTGAATTGGACGGGGGATCGATCGGAGGGGCAGGCACTGCTAGTCGAATATAAACAGAAATAAAAAATATACAATACCAGTTCCATAACGTGCTAATATATTTTCTACTTTATTATAATATACATAAAAACTATGCTACACCATTACATTGTTACACTGACGCCGTAAATACTATGTGGCACACATACACTTATTTATTGTATTTATATATTGTATGTATCAACATCCACACTATACAGTTACACACAACATTATAATTAATTGTATTTATTTTATATCCACATAGATTCCATACTCAAACACACTACACACATTACCTGCAGCAATCGGTTAAATACCGTTAGCCGTCTCCGTAAGCAATCATGGCTGCATAGCTGTGAGCACTGCAGTCATCGTTCATAAGTTAACTGGCTAACCTGCGCTCGCTCTTATAAATTTCTAGTGCTTAGCTTACACCTAATTATTCTTTCTTTGTAGTGTCTATCTTTGTGTTTTCTATACCTTATTATAAACTGTATTGTGCTTGTCTGAACTGTCGCTTTCCCTTGTAAAATATTCATACAATATACGTTGAAGATAGTGAGTGACTTTTATTTAAATAAAGGAACATTATCGCTATAACTACATAATAAACACGAGTAGATTTTCTTTCAAACGTAAATTACGGGAACATTATTTAAACTTGTAACCTTTTCTGTGTCCTGTTTTCTCATTGTGCTTTTTATTTTTAGGTATAAATATATATATACTTTTAATTCCATTATTTGTGGCAGTACATGATATTTCATTGTCAGATTATTTATTAATTATGTATTTATGTACGGTTTATGTAAGTATATATATATGTAGTTATTTATTCATGTATATTTTTATGTGTATCGTTTTACATATATTTTTTTTTTATTTGTATCGCCAACAATCATTCTCTGCACCACCCATGGTTGACTGGTAGATAATGCCGCATGGTGTTAAGTCCGCCATATGTACTTTCAATTATGTGCATTAAAGTTTTAATAAATAAATAAATAAATAATAAACACAAACCTGTTGAAATATTTGGGATTGGAGTATTTTTCTAAGAAAGTGTTGCATATTTTTTCTAGTTCTCACAAAAGCCTCTGCGTTGAATGTTATTAACTGCCCATTTTCAATTCTGAAATAAATATCTAACATTAGCTTATTTAATTAAACTAACCTCGGTGGTCTAGCGGTATAGCACACCGGTTTACGTCCGATGGTCGCAGGTTCGATTCCTCGCATGGCACAAACATTTGTATTCAAGAGTATGATTGTTTGTATCGGTCTGGGTATTTACTATGTATAATATGTATGTATTTACGAAAAAATAATACCCATGTACTTGTATCAGTTATCTTGTAACCGTAACACAAGCTGTAGCTAGCTTATCTTGGGTCTAGAGGGCGCTGTATGAATTGTCCTGAGATATTATTATTATTATTAACATTAGAGAATGGCTGTATGGGCTTAGACTCTTTGCCTTTCCTATTAGGGTACATAAAGTTCATAAAAACCTTGACTTATTTCCAAAAAAACAGCAATACTCATAATATTAATACTAGATTTAAAAACAAACTTGCTGTCCCCAAGTATCGTTTAGAAAAAGTCAATAGGACTTTTATGGGAGTAGGTATAAAAATTTACAATAAGATATCAAAGGATATATATAAATTCAAAACATCTGTTAAATCATATTTACTGAGCAAGGCCTATTACTCACTAAACGATTACTTGAATGACGAGCGTGCATGGCAATAGTTTTCATGTTCGGGATTTTCATTTAATGTTAGACATAGACACCTATATAAATACCTATGCATTGTAAATAAACTGGATTTAAAAAAAAAGTAATCAATTGAGTTTCTTGTCAGTTCTTCTCAATTGGATCTATATACCGAACTGGACGGTAGAGAAAAAAAATATAATATAAAAACTTGACGTTCATAAGCGGATAAAATGTCCTACATGAATAAATGATTTTTGAATTTGAATTTGAATTTGCTGTGTGAATTGTCCTGAGATATTATTATTATTATTAACATTATAGAACGGCTGTATGGGCTTAGACTCTTTGCCTTTCCTATTAGGGTACATAAAAAAAAATAACATTAGATTATACACAACCACCATGTATAAGGGGTACAACTGAACTGTTGCCCCTGCCTGCGCTAACGGAATACCCTGGCGGAGCAACAGTGAAGAATAACATGATGAACATGTAGTTAGGCCAGTTAGCCCATCACGATTAATTTACTAGGATAAACTACGATAGTTTCCAGGAGGGACCGTGTGGAGGTCGACCTAACATGTTAAATTGTTAGCAATGGGGCTGTTCCCCATTACTTACAATCCCTTTCACCCCCAGAGAAACATATTAAGTTTTCTTAAGGGTCGGCAACGCGCACGTGTCACCACTGGTGTTTCAGGCGTCCATAGGCTACGGTAACCATTTACCATCAGATGAGCCGTATGCCTGTTTGCCATCTACGTGGTATAAAAAGAAATATAAAAGAACTAGCTGTCTCGACAAACGTTGTTTTGCCTTAAAATAAAATAAAAAAATTTAGGGGTGGACTACCCCTAACATTTAGGGGGATGAAAAATAGATGTTGGCCGATTCTCAGACCTACTCAATACGCTCACAAAATTTCATGAGAATCGGTCAAGCCGTTTCGTAGGAGTATGGGAACGAAAACTGTGACACGAGAATTTTATATATAAGATATCAATATAAATCTTACTTTATAGCATCACGATATCCACCTATAAGACATACGAGCGCCCGCAAGAAAGCTCTTGAAACTGCGTCGCCGAGAGCATTTTTGTCACTTAAAGCTTTTTTTAAGCTCGATACCTGGAATTATACAAGAAGAACCTCATTTAGAACATAGAGAAGAAAAAATAATACAGTGTGTTCTAATTTTGTAGGACTCGGTGGTGCAGCGGTTTAGCACACAGCTTTACTTTAGACGGTTGATGAGTTCGATTCCTCGCGGTGTAAACAATTATATTCATGAGAATTATTGTTTGTATCGGTCTGGGTGGTTTTCTATGTATAATATTTATGTATTTATGATAAAATATATCTATGCATTTGTATCAGTTATCTAGTACCCATAACACAAGTTTTAGCTAGCTTAACTTGGGTCTAGATGGCGCTGTGTGAATTGTCCTGAGATTATGTAGATTGTATTATCGTATTGAGTATTTTCAATGTATATCTATGTATTTAAAAGTGTATCTATGTATTTATATCAGTTGTCTAGTACCCATAACACGAGCTCTGCTTACCTTGAATCCTAGATAGCGCTGTGTGAATAATTAAAAAAAATTGGTAACAAATCAAAAGCTAAACTGCAAAATTCACTTTGTGAATCTGGAACAGCTGTTGGATTGTAATATTCTCAGCCGACAGCCTCGGTGGTCTAGTGGTTTAGCACACCGCTTTACTATCCGATGGTCGTGAGTTCGATTCCTCGCACGGTACAAACATTTGTATTCATGAGTATGATTGTTTGTATCGGTCTGGGTGTTTTCTATGTATAATATGTATTTATTTACAAAAAAAAAATGTATCCATGTATTTATATCAGTTGTCTAGTACCCATAACACAAGCTCTGCTTAGCTTGGGACTAGATGGCGCTGTGTGAAATGTCCTGAGATATTATTATTATATTTATTATTATTCTGGATGCCAGACACGACGAGCTGAAAGCCCGACCACCTGAGGCTGTCAGCTATAATTATGTGAACGGTGTGCTCCCATGCACGCTATGTGCGATTTTACAAACAAAATTGGCTACATAAGCTACATGCGAACACTTTAACGGCAAAACCGGAGTTGAAGACAGTCGCCGTGGCCGAATCGGCCGGGATTACATCATCATCATCATCATCACCATCATCACCATCATCATCATCATCATCATCATCATCAATATTCAATAAAATAACTTCATTATTATAATTGTAAACTATAACATTATAGGGCAACACGCTAGTTTCTTGCTCGTTCTGTTTGTGATAAATCAAAATTCCGAATGAGCGGTAGTTTAAAAATATAAGTATGAGTAAATAAAGTATTAAAGTATTTTCTATAATATTATAACTCGTCCGATCGATCCCCCGTCCAACCAAAACTTGGTTCGATTTTACGACGGTCTAAGCCGAGGTTCGAACCCCTAGCGGTGCCCTCAGACTAAAGTCGTATCCGTCAGGCGGGAGATGGCCTTCAGCCGCTCCATAACTCCTTCCTTTGGTTTGGAGTGCCATCTGCACTCGCCCCCTAACGTCCGGTGAAGCTGTAAAGGCCAGCTGCAGCCAACAGCATGTGTTTAGAACTACAGCCTTCTGTAGTTGGCAGTATATATTAGGGGCCAAGTTCAGGGTACTTATTGACTGATATATCTGTTTCGGTATGACAGCTGTAGTTGAGAGGTCGATTGGGACTATTGTTACTTTTTGTAAGTGCCAGAGTTCGGTTATTTCAGTTTATAATTCTTTATATTTTGTTATATTTTCGATTATCGTAAATATTATTATTTTTTATTTTCTCTCAGCTTTTACTGGTTTTTTTATTATTATTATTATTATAAGTGAAATTACAGCTCTTTATTGCACTTACCAATTCTGGAGGAAGACTTTCTACATCATGGAAGGGAGTTCTAAGCTCATTCATATCTACATCTAATATAACAACATCTCCAATTTCAGACATTCTCACAGACTGTAATAAAGAAATACAATTATTTAACATATTATTTATATATAAAATTATTATTTAAAATAATATATAGAGCGTATAGGCAGTAGGGAAAATATTATAATATAAAAAAAATTACGTTCATAAGCGGCTAAAATGTCCTACATGATTAAGTGATTTTTTAATTTGAATTTGAGCAGAGAAACTATAAGTTCTGATAATACTGTGCCCAACATTAGCACTTATACCAACATTAGCATTTGTAATAAGTTAAATTTTAATAAAAACACTACCATTTATTTTTTTCATTGAGTTACGCGCCACCTCGGCTTTGAGCGGTGTGAATTATGACGACCTCGGTGGTCTAGCGGTCTAGCACACCGCTTTACGACCGATGGTCGCGGGTTCGATTCCTCGCACGGCACAAACATTTGTATTCATGAGTATGATTGTTTGTATCGGTCTGGGTGTTTTCTATTATATGTATCAGCTATCTAGTACTTACCAGTTCAGAAATTTGTCGGAACAAACAGCTGTCTGTTTGTTTATACTTTTATACAGATATATTATACATATTTTTTATTTTATATTATATATATTACAGACAGACAAAAATTGTAAAAAAATATATTTTGGTATGTGTACCGTATTTATATTCATATGAATGTAGTAAAAAACGGTTATTTCAATATTACATACAGGCACTCCAATTTTGATGTACTCCTATATAATAATAATAATAATAGTATGTATAGATAGTCATGTCCCAATGACTAGCAAATATACAGTATACAGAATACTACGTTTTCAGTTATAAATTGTAATATTTGCGGCAACTATGTATATATACATCTTTATATATAAAAATTACGTGTCACGTTGTTATTCCTAAACTACTGAACCGAGTGCAAATTTGATTTGCACATTGTGTGCAATTCGATCCAACTTGTAATATAGGACATCTTAATTTATAGTCGCAATATTTTATTCAAGAACTTTAGCCACAGCAACGTGTGGCCGGATATGCTAGTTATATATGAATTTGTTTATGAGATATGGTAAGAAAGGAAGTAAATAACGCGATGACTGCGACCAGGGATGAATGGAAAGAAAAACATATTACGCCGACCCCAAATAATTGGGATAAGGAAGAAGCAGGTGATGATACGACTTTATTTATACTAGGTCAAAATGATTTCTTACCTCCATAACACATTTAGGAACTCCAATAAGAAAAGGCATTGGTGCTAACAAATAGTCAACAAGATGCTTCGGTAGTATTGGAATGAATATGTGTTGCCACGACATGGGAAACAGTGTAGCGTTGGCTGCCTGCACGCAGGCGGATAACCGGGACGGTTTGGATGCTACAATGGCCACTCGACGTTCATTCAACAAAGCAGCCCACAAACCAATCATGCTTTTTGGTTCAAGTGCGCTGAAATACTCCGTTAGGTTATGCTGGAAAATAAACATAGATTTTAGAAAGCGGCTTAAATTTTCAGCTAATAGCTTTTACCCGGGCTTTGAGCGCGACGACCGAATCTAGAAATTCCGTAACGAAAACAAAACACCCCCCACTCCGACCGGCACACAGCCGTGCATCGGCTTACGTCGTTTCAGTTCGGCAGACTTCGGCACGGTGCTTTTGAGCGTGCGTCTAGCATATACAGTATGAAGCTCGCACGGAACAAGACGAGCTGCTCCGAAATCTGACGAATACGTAAGCAGTTTGTGAGAAAGTATATTATTATTACTGTATAATAAATTGTTTTCTTATCGGTCACCACGCTCTATAAGTGTAACTTGATATTTATATCAAAAAGAAAAAAAATACTGCATAAATAAAATAAATAAATAATTATAATTCCATAAGTTGATATAGCTTTACCGCGGCAGTCCCCAAGTGCTATTTAATTTTTTTTTATTTTATTACCAGCTACCTGCCCCGTATTTGCACATTATTTACATTACTAGATGTAGTTAGCTACCTTAGTTACTTAGTATATGTTTGGGAAACTACTCTGCTACCAAAATGTTAGGGAATTTACTCTCTGTATATATATAGGGAAAAATAAGGAAGCGTCAGTCCTTTACCTTTATGGTTCTGCGGATTTCTTGGGCTTCAGGGTCTCGAAGGTATCTTCGCTAGCTTTCCAGTTTCACAGTAGGTTTCACAGTTCTAATTTATTTTAATTCACAACAAATGCGCGCGCGTCAAGGTCGCTGTACGGTCCGTTTGTTACTAGTTAGGGAGGGGAAGGGAACGCGCGGGAACAGAAAACTAACGGACTCTAATATAATATAATATCTGTGCTTACGATGATACAGGGTAGATTTTGAACAGTAGTAGTAGTTGCCAAGAAGCTTGCATGAGATTTGTATGGTAGTGAGTAAGAATGGCAATGAATTTATGTCACATTATAAATTAGACAAGAAAAACTGTAAAAATAGCTACTATCTTGGATTTTCCCAACAACACATCTGTTATAAATCTGCCAGAAAAAAGATTTTAATGTCAATGAAAACAGTTCCTTTGCAAAAAAGCTTACTATAACTTTGAAGAATTCGTTAACGATAATAATGTTTTTATAGAAAAACTTTAAATCTATAGCACTGACAATATTATCTGATTACATTAATAATGAGTGCGTAGCGACTTCTATGTTGATTATCGCATGCCTCTTACTTGTTATACTGTAATTATTTATATAAAAAAAAACATTTATTAAAAAGAGCAACACACAAGTTTCTTGCTCATTCTTCTTGTGATGAATCTGCATTCCGAATGAGTGGTAGAATCAAAATATGACTATTCAAAAGTGCTTGTAATGAGTTTATTTGAATAAAGATTATTTCTATTTCTATTTCTAACACACTGGAATTTTCTCATGGTCACTTTAATCAAAGGAACATTTCCCCCAAACATCGACCCCCGGACACACCTGGGAGAAGAACTTTGTCAATCAATGAGTCGTCGTATATTTTAGACAAGATCAGTCCGCAACGCTTGCACATATACATAGACTACGGTTACGATTACCATCCGGCGGGCCGTTAGTTTGTTCATCATTCTACTTATATTAAAAAATACAGTAAATAACAAAATGATACGATATAATAATTATAATATGTACTTTATTATACTACTAGCTCTACCCGCGACTCCGTCCGTGTGGAATTAACAAAAAAATTAATTAGAAAAATAAAGTAAAACTCTTTATTTTTCTAAAATAAAAGTTCAGTCAAGATCGGTCCAGCCATTTCAGAGATTAGCCGGAACAAACAGACAGACAAACAGACAAAAATTGTAAAAAATGTTATTTGGTCTATGTACCGTATTTATATTCTTATACATGTAGTAACAAACGGTTATTTGAATTTTACAAACAGACACTCCAATTTTATTTATATGTATAGATGTATAGATAAGATCAACCCGCAGTGCTGGTTGATCTTATCTATACATCTATACATACGCCACGTTTACGATTACCATCCGGCAGGCTTCAGCTGGTTCACCAAACAAATTATATTAAAAAAAAAATCTATACAACAAAAAGACATGCCGTAATAATTATACTACTTACGTTGTCTGGAATGCTGGGCAGCTTTGGGTCTGGACTTTGGCATGTGAATACACTGTGACCAGCATTGTAGGTCACCTTCAGTGTATGCCCAGGCATAGGTGGTCTCGAGCGGCATGATTCTAAAAAATATGTTAATTCCCCTCGTTCGGGACTGTTCAGTAAATTAGCTATACAATTCAACAACCTGAAATTAACAAAAGCTTTATGTCACATAATATATATATATATATATATATATATATCGCATAATTATTTTATTTATTTATTAAACTTTAATGCACAGATACATTAATAAAGGTGCACATGGCGGACTTAACACCTAGAGGCATTTTCTCCCAGTCAACCATAGGGCAAACAGAGATTCATGTGGGCGGTACATTATGATTAACATAATACTTACATAACGTAATATAATTACTGTATAACTCACATAGCAAGACTCAGAAGCAAGAACATTTTCGCAGTTGTTTATTAAAAGATTATAATAGAAGGAAATTAACATAACGCTATTAAATTTTAAAAGTATAATATGACCCCAATATTAATATAAAATAAGAGTTGTGCCAATAATTAGTAAAAAGAACATATAATATATAATTAACAATATTAACGCAAGCAATAAATAGCATTAGCAAAATATATTTATTAAAAACAAACGAAGCCATAACGCGAGCTCGAAAGGATACAACTGGTCCGCAAATAGTAATAGGCATGCATTACATTGTTGCATCAAAATAACAATAATTAATCATTATCGGAGTAAATACAATTATCAAACAACATATGATCCCTAGCCAAGTCGTATAATACTGTAATTTTCCAAAACAAAATATTAAAGCACTATTTCTAATTAGTTAAACAACTGTTATCTATTTGCAACTATGTTACTAAATCACAAATATTTACTATCATTCAATTTGAAGCATAATTAATCGCTTAGATTGGTATCCTTGAGATAGAAAAAGGAGACAAGGGCGATAGAATAAAAGGATTGGAGAATGATATAATAATAATACCAGGATGATGCAATAGAGGTAAAAACATAACTGTCAATATATATATTGACACTGTAGTTTCGGCTCGTAACGTATATATTGTTCTTATAGCTATTGTACTTTCTTTGATTTCATCAAAAATAACATCTTCACATAACACAACTTCTCCACACTTGGATAAGGCCCGTGTGGGTGAGTATCACCTTCTTTTAAATCAGATAAAAGAAGAGTAAAGAAAATAAACATAATAATGATATAATTTATTTATTTCTCCTCACAAACATGGATAGAAACATATACATATAGTACTTTCGATAATACAAAGCATAAAGGGTGACGCCCAGCTTACCGCGCATTTACCTTGGTGGTCTGCAGTGAAATTATAGGTTTTGGGATAGATGTTCCAAAACTTTTGATCAACGGCGTTTGATGGATCCCAAAGTTTTGGAACACTATATCTCGAGAAGGTAAATAGCCTCAAAACTGGCACTTGGACAAATGATCGTACTAATTATGAAGTATAACCCATAATTAAAGCATAAAGGGTGACGCCCAGCTTACCCCGCACTTTACTTGGTGGTCTACAGTGAAATTATTGGTTTTGGAATAGATGTTCCAAAACTTTTGATCAGCGGCACTTGATGGATCCCAAAGTTTTGGAACAAGGTAAATGGTCTCAGAACTGGCACATGGACAAACGATCCTACTAATTATGAAGTATAGCCCAAAACCAATAATTTCACTGTAGACCACTATGCAAAATCCGTCTAAATTATATGGGGAGTTTAGCTTTATTATTACAATCAATATGCTGTGAGGAGGCTTGTTCAGACAACTAGGTATAACCTGTAATACGAACAATACAGGCTGTAGCTTGACCAACACTTCCTTTTTAAGTTGGCTATGTACAATTAGTACGGGCGCTATAATCCTATACTTTGACAAGGTGCCCATATTTCAGGTAACTAGAAATCTTCCGTCCAGCTCCTGGATATTTGCTCTTTTTAGTCTTTTTGCTGGGTAACAAGGATAGCAACATATAGAAGAAAAGTGTTGGATAGAAAAACATGGAGTCTATTGAAAAAAACTACGTCTTAGGACAAGCTGACGAACCGAGGCAATGAAATAGAAACAAATAAGAACAAAATTACCTTGCATATCAGAAAAAAGGCCATAAATGCTATAAATAAGTGCAAGCATAATGCATCGCTCAGCAAAATACAGCATATACTTACTTATAAAATATATCGTGCCATGGTAAATGTGATAATAGAACCAATGCTGCTTTGGACTTTGGATCGTATCGGCAAAAACAAAAGGTATACTTGGAATCCATTGATGTTAATACAAATGAATAAACTTGTACAAATGGTCTGAAAATGAAACATCGAAACGTTAATAATACTGGCAGGAGAATAGTTGTCCCTCTTCCTATACTATAAATTTAATATATGTGTAATATTAGTCTTACATAAGCTATAAACTCGAAAGTTACTAAGCATGGATGTTTGTTACTCTTTCACGCAGAAACTACTGATCGGATTTTGATCAAACTTTACAGTTATATAGCTTATATATACATCAGAATAAGACATAGGCTATCATTTTAAAAAATATCATGTAAATTGGGTGAAATGTAATGATAAATATCAAGAGAGTGTAATGCAGACGAAGACAGATCAGCTATGAATAATAAGCCTAGCTTATTATGCAAATTTTCTAATACCAAACTAACGCATAGCTAGTAGTATGAGTGTGAATCACAGATAGAAATACTTTTTTAAACAATAGCAATCACACAAACTACACACATACAAATTAATACAAATGCTTATATAATGCGAGAGTCGAACTCGCGACCATCTAAAGTAGTGGTGCGGTGCTGAACCACTCAAATCGTCATCTTATCAACATAGTTAAAAGTAAATTCAACACACACTTAAAATTGACAATGAATACAAATATCTGTATCGAGCTAGAGTCGAACTCGCGACCCTCTGAAGTGAGGTGGTGTGGTGCTAAATCGCTGAGGCTATAATACTATAAAGATAGTTAAAAGTAAATTCACAATACGCACTCTTCAAATTGACACGGGAATGTAAATTTAGGAACATTTTTTAACTCCTCTTCGTTTTTGTACGACTCTGGATATTTTCTTATAATATAGGGCTCCCTGAGTTGATCACCCGGTGACACTTCACAAAAGAGTTCAAACAGGAACCGAACAGTATCTCTGTAACAAGAATAATCAATTTACATCATACAATCCTTAGTTTTAATTTGTGGGTACAGCCACGTGGCTACTGGCTACTTATAATTTGATTGTCAGATAAATAAATATTTATTCATATATTTTAGCCATTTTTCATTAGGTCGTTTACTAAATTCTTAATATCCTTTTTTTATCCTTACTAATATATAAATGCGATAATAACTTTGTCTGTCTGTCTGTCTCGCTTTCACGCCAAAACTACTGAACCGATTTAAATGAAATTTGGTACACAGTTAGTATAGACCCTGAGAAAGGACATAGGCTACTTTTAAACGCGATAGAAGAGTTATAAGGGGTTGAAAGAGCTATGTATGGAAGTGTCGTCATTTTTGAATGAAACTTTTTCATTAGGCTTTTATTGGGTTAGGTCATTACATATTTTTTTCATTATTTGGTCAAGGTCACTATTTTACGCGAACGAAGTCGCAGGTACAGCTAGTAATAATTATAATTGCATACAACAGTAAAGAGTAACTGATGGTAAACGGTTACCGTATCCTATGGACGCCTGAAACACCAGGAGTATCATGTGCCTATTAACCACCTGTATCCCCATATAGTCCATCGAGAAAACCCCGGGCAAGTATTTCATTCCACAATTTAAGTGTACGCGGGAGGAAGCTCCTCTGAAACCGCACTGTTCGAGACTTAGGTTCCAGATTAGGGATGGATTCCCTGTTAATAGCGAGTGGTGCGATGGTAAAACGAAATGGTATAATGTTAATATATATGCTATGAGACCATATGTACCTATTGTATATTTAGTATAGTTTAATATTATATTTAATTTGTGAATGTTCAATCTTGAAATGGATGTGTGGGGTGACCAGAACTGACAGAATAAGGAATGTGTACATACGATGAAGATGTAGAAGATGTTGAGGTGGATGTGTGGTGTGACAAGAATGGATAAGATAAAGAATGAATACATTAGAGGAAGTATGAAAGTGGCACCGATGTCAGAGAGGTTGAGGACCAATCGTCTATCATGGTATGGACATGTAATGCGTAGGAACGAGGATAATATTTTAAGAAAGGTGTTACATATGAATGTGGTAGGTTATAAGGGCAGAGGAAGGCCGAAAAAGAGATGGATGGACTGTGTGAAAGATGATATGGTAAGAAAGGAAGTAAATAACGCGGTGACTGCGAACAGGGATGAATGGAAGAGAAAAACATATTACGCCGACCACAAATAAATGGGATAAGGAAGAAGCAGATGATGATGATGGCATACGAGGAAGATAGTTGCACTAGTTATAGAAAAGTTGCGAGCTAACAGATTAAACTGATATGGGCATGTTAGGCGGAAGAACGAGGATCATGTCTGATGGAAAGTATACAATATGAATGTGGATGGATGTAAAGGGAGGGGACGCCCTAAGAAAAGATGGATGGATTGTGTGAAAGATGATATGAATAAAAGAAGAGTGTGTTCAGATATGACGGCCGATAGAGAGCAGTGGAAGAGATATACTGCGCCGACCTGAAATAATGGGATAAAGGCAAGGCAATGATCATTATATTTAATTTGTATGATAATTGTTAAACTTATATATTTTGGTTGTTTATATAATTATAGAAGTATATTTGTACGTTTATATCTATATTAATAATTTCGTCAAGGAGTACGGTAGACTCGAACGAAACCTTATGTGAATAACAGAACATAAAAACATATTGATTTCGAGTCGACAACACATATCCGCAAAATTCGGAGTTATGGAGTATTTCGTTAAATTCTAATGACACTGACAAACAAACCGCAGTCGCCATCTTTTCATTTCACTAGCATTTTCTTCGGTCGTTGACGTTTCGCGAAAATATTGTTATTGCGAAAACTTTTTTATGATAAAAGAGTATGTGTTTTTTCTTTAAACCTGAAATTGTCCGATCGCGAGACAAATTTGGCAATTTTTTTTTTTTATTAATTTATTTTACGGCTCTGGATGGACAAGTCCTTTTTACCCCAACTTAAAGTTTTACAAGATAATAAAAATTATTTGTATAAAAACTTTTGTACTTTTTATTTACTACATTTATTAAAAACAATGAACGAAGCTTTACAAATCTATGCCTTGCTTACTTTTAACATTCCATGAGAACTGATGACTACAGAAATATCTACCCACATTTCACCCGAGCGAAGCCGGGTTTTCATCTAGTATATATAGTTCTGTATTAATCTATTGTATACCTGTTACACTGCACCGCCATACTATCTCTGATGAACGCGACGGTTGTACGCCATACATACAAATCGTATGCAAAAGAATAAATAAATAAATGATTGTAACTGATATTACTAAAGCTGATAACAACTTCCTCCGAAACGTAATTTTCTAATACAATTTCAACCGGGCGAAGGGGATTATCAATTACTTTGTCCTCATTGCCAGTACAGTTGTACATTGAGGAAACGACGATCTGACATTTTAGAATTATTATTCGCTTCTTCTTTTTTACCTATCATCATCATCTGCTACTTCCTTATCCTATTTTCTCTTTTGTTTTTCATATTTATTTTATTATATGAATTGATAATAATTTCCTACATATTTTATGCCTATATGTTATACCTATTTCTTGTTTTATTATAGTTTTTTTTAATATATTAATATTTATGATAATGTAATAGGGCTGATTACAAGCTGTGGTCTTGTTACATGCGTCCTCGCGTATGTCTCTGGGCAGTGCCTGAATATCAGTGGTTTGCTGCTTGTATGCTGCAAACAATACACTGAGGTGCTGCCTTTTTACGTATGGGCTATGCACACACGCTACGTTACTCATACCGTTTTTTGTTATCTGTATTGCATTTTATTTTATCTGTAATTGTTGTGTATTGTATTTTGTTTGACTTCACTAATGTAATGTGTATATCTGTTTTTATTTTTGTTCTTATTATTACAGTGCCTTTTGTGTGTGTGTGTGTGTGCTTTTAACGTGAATAAAATTTTTATCTATCTATCTATCTATCTATTTATTTGTGGTCGGAATATGTTTTCTTTTCCATTCATCTCTGTTCGCAGTCATCTCATAATTTACTCCCTTTCTTATCATATCATCTACACAGTCCATCCATCTCTTTTCCGGCCTTCCTCTGTCCTTATAACCATCCACATTCATATGTAACCTTACCTTCTTCCTATTCTTCATTCCTACGTATTACATGCCCATACCATGATAGAAGATTACTCTTCCAACTCTCCTACACCGACACCACTTTCATACTTCTTTCTGTATACCTATATACTCTGATTTTTTGTAATATATACTGTGTTGTAAAACGTGTGTATATAGAAAGTACACGTCTATCTATCTATTAATTTACCCTGGACACCATTGTGCTGAATTCCTGGTTAATTTGCTACTGGCCTAACTGACGTAGCCTCATATCCTGTGATCCTCCACTAATGGCCCGTTGGCGTAAACCGTTACCGCAAACGGATGCACCATTTCATTATCATCCACTAAAAACTATATCTGTCAATCCTATAAAATTGTCATTTCGAATTTAATTTAGACATTCTTATTGTATATTTTATGGCCGACAATGCTGTAAACTCAGAATGTATACATTTATCTATACATATAAAAATTGGAGTGTCTGTTTGTAATATTGAAATAACCGTTTTTTACTACTTGCATATGAATATAAATACGGTACATACACCAAAATAACATTTTATTACAATTTTTGTCTGTCTGTCTGTCTGTTTGTTCCGGCTAATCTCTGAAATGGCTAGACCGATTTTGACGGGACTTTTATTGGCAGGTAGCTAATGTAATAAGGAGTAACTTAGGCTAACTTAGTAACTTAGGCTAGAAAAATAAAGTGAAATTCCACACGGACGAAGTCGCGGGTACAGCTAGTTATCAATACAATTATGTCACAGTTAAGTACTGTATTTTATCATATAATAATGTTATTTAATGCAATAAAATGACACACAATAAACGTTCAATTGCTACTTGCACTGATATGCATATCTACATATTTACTTATGAACATTAATGTTAAATATAGAAAAGGGTGCCTATGTAGATACACCTTGCAGCATTGTCTATGAATTAGTGTAAAGAAAATTGGCTATGAAAGATTACAATTAACATAATAATTGTTGCAGGCAATTTGTCCTCCATTCTTTTTATAAATGTTGTATTATTTTGATATCTGTTTTTTACACTCTATCCTGAGGAGATAAAAACCATCGCTCCTAAGAATATCCTTCAATTCTAGTCCCTGACGTGTCTAAGTAAGTAGGAAACTCTGAAAAAGGGCGAGTACAATAGATCTATGTAGGTTGCAGTGCTACAGGTCCAAGCACCTGACAAACAACCCAATAAAAAAACATCACTTTTGACTCCATCGCTATGGGTCCTTTTGGGAAATATATACATTTATTAAAATTAGTCTGTTTTTTAATAAAATAGTTGTTGTGTTCTGCTCCAGTCATAATAATAATAAGCATGGTTCATTCACAGAGCATTCTCTAGATCTAGAGATCTAGTCCCAAGTTAAGCAAAACGATTTTTTTTTTTGTGGATGATAATGGAATGGTCACCCGCCGGCGCTAACGGTTTACGCTGGCGGGGCACCAGTGGAGGATGATAAGATGAGCATGAGGTCAGGTCAGTTAGCCCATCGTGACAAATTCACCAGGAATTTAACACGATGGTTTCCAGGGGGAACCGCGTGGAGGTTGATCTGACATGGTACATTGCTAGCAATGGGGTTATCAATCCACGTTACTAACAATCCCCTTCCCACCGCTAAACAGAACTTGTGTCATAACACTGGTATCTAGGTACCAGAAAATTGATAGAATACTTTAAAATACATCTTACTACGTTAGTAATGTGGACTGATGATCCCATTGCTAGCAATATACCATATCAGGTCTACCTCCACGCGGTTCCCTCTGGAAACCATCGTAATAAATTTGCGGTGAATTTGTCACGTTGGGCTAACTGATCTGACTTTATGCTCATCTTATCATCCTCCACTGGTGCCCCACCAGCGTAAACCGTTAGCGCAGGTGGGTGCAGCATTCCACTATCATTCACTAAAAAAATATTATACACAAGCTTCTTGCTCATTCTTCTTGTGATGAGACAGCATTCCGAATGAGTGGTAAAATAAAAAAATGTGACTATTCAAAAGTGCTTATATTAAGTTTATTTGAATAAAGATTATTTCTATTTCTATAACGCGGATATACGATTGTCGATGTACGGTTGGATGGATTTTTGTTACATAGGCTATAAATTTGAAGCAGGTAAAACCGCAGGCACAACTAGTACATAATATACATAGAAAACACCCAGACTGATACTAACAATCATACTCATGAATACAAATGTTTGTATCTGTGTGGAATTAGTCCTGTGATCATCGGAAGTAAAGTTACTAGTAACTGCCTATGACTGTAGAGGCTTCCCTTTGGATAATATTAGTACATACAACTATATTGTTAGCTTCAATACATAAAGAACACTCAGTTGACTAATTTGTCGCTATGGTTTTAAATTTGAAATGTAAGTAACATTTCAAATTTAAAACCATAGCGAGTCACGTGATGTTGGTGACGTCACGATTATGACGCCACCAATAGTAATAGAGAGAAAGAGGCCGGGAACAAAGAGGGAGCGGGCTGCTCTCTCTCTGTTCGAGGCGACCGAGACGACCAGACGTGACTGTACAGTGACGCAATTTATGTGGAGTGTAATTTGAAAAATTAATAAAATAAAAGTACTGCTGCATCGACATATCATTTCCGAAACGTCCCAATAATATATTGTTGTAAAAATCATATCTGTATTTGTTACTAACAGATACTACCTACCTGTCTACCCTGCCTTCCTATAGATCATAAAACATTTTAGCATTCTATACTATTAATATGATGGATGGTTGCTCATCTGTCATACTCATGACTGGGTGATACTTGTGCGGACTGGTCTGTTCGGGTTACAAACACAGATTAGACTATTTGCTTTTGCAATAACATATTTACTATTAGCATATGCTAGTGGTCACTCTAGTCTTCCAAATTTGAATTTAAAAATGAATCTGTTTTATTATAAACATGTACATTTATTTGAAGAAAATACGAGCTGAATTTCTTGTCAGTACTTCTCATTTTGAAATCATTCCCAACTGACGGTAGATTTAACATATCATAGGAGGCTACCTATATGAATAAAGAATTTTCAAGAAGAAATTTTGAGTTTGAAAGCTATTGATGGATTGGATATGGATTTTGTTTATGAAACAACTACATCCTTGAAATATAGTCTATAATCATATTAAATTTCATTAAGATCCATTCAATAATCCTAGATGCATTTGCCAATTAGAAGCATAAATGTGAGATATAGAAGTCGTTGATGCACAATTATTTTATAATGTAAAAAAAAAACATGTATTACAAGCTCCGTTCAGCTATTTAGCCATAAAAAGATAACAATCAGATAAATGGAAACACAGCTAGGAGCTTATTAATAATATTAATATAATTTAGAAGTAAATAAATGACAATATGTAATTTCTTACTATTAATTGTTTTAATATGGATCTTCATAAGGTACATGTTATAAAGGAATAACAAATAAATAAATAAATATCTGAACCTTTATCAAAGCTATATAATGAGACATAGTGAAACAATAAAAATATAATTCATTCAATTAGATTCATTTAAACCTTATTAATAATGTAACATGTTTCATTTTCATACAAAGATAAATAATATTAATATTCATTACTCATGAGTTTTATCTCACAGCAAACACCATAGCTAAAATACTGATGTAAGCATTCCTGTGACTGGACACCCACAGAGAAAACATTTATCTTAATACTATAATAATGATCTAGGCCTCGGAGAAGGCAAGTTAAGATTACTGTAAACATCATGGATTATTAGAACGCACAAAAGGCAAATAAAATTATGAACTAAGCAAAATGAAGTTTAGTACATTTACCTAAAATTCCAAATTGTATCACGATTACTCCACACTAGTTAGTGATATCAACTAGGGTTAGGTAGAATTGTTAATTGAACAGATAATATTGACAATTAAATAGAAAATTCAATACGATATGGTGTATAATTACCTTAATCGGGAACCCATGTCTCGACGTGGACTTTAAGAAAATTTGATTACATCTTACACAGCATATATATTATTTGTTGATAAGTTGTTAAAATAAACACATCACGAAACATCACAAGCCATAGAAAACTATTTTTTAATTCCAATAAACATATTTTGATTATTTTAATTTAATACTCAATCAAAATGTTACGAAAGGTGGACTGACTATTATATATAAGTATTCGTGATAGCCGGCAATGATTGGTCAATATATAAATGCGATGAGTTTGACAATATTGTAACCAATCACAAGCCTGTATTTTCGCAACATGAGTGGTCATTTGTCAGTTATACAGCGAGTGACGGATGATTTTCACTTATGTCACTTTTATTCAAATATAGTTTTTTTTAATAGCATAGGCAAAGGAAATGGTCTCTATACAGCTATACTTGTTTAAATTTCAGTGTATAGTCAAACTTTTGACAGACTCGATATTGTTTCTGTAGTTTATTGGATTATTTTAATATTAAGATTGAGAACTCTTGTAACTTCTGATTAATGAAATAGTTCAATATTGGGAGGAAACAGGATTGTTAGTGGGTCATTTACATTAGTAGCAATGTCTTATCATCTTTCACTGATGCCCCGCCAGCTCATTGATATTTAAAACTGACTACCGCGCGGCGTTAGCCAGTAGGCAGCGCGCTGTGCGGAAAGTAACAGTGTGTATTACAGTAAAAATTAACAATATTTAATATCACATATAAGAACACAAGTGTGTTGAAAAACGTACGATGTAGGTGCGCATATTACGCGGCACTATTACTTCATGACGTACTGCATATCGTCATCTGCTTCTTCCTTATCCCATTTATTTGTGGTCGACGTACCTAGTACGTTTTTCTGGGGGAAAGGTGAGGTTACCAATATAGACTGATGATCTTATTGCTAACAATGTACCATGTCAGGTTGATCTCCACGAGGCTTCCCGTGTAAACCATCGTGATAGATTCATCCTTGTTCGCAGTCATCATTCGTTACTTACTCCTTCCTTACCATATCATCATTCACACAGTCCATCCATCTCTTTTTCAGTCTTCCTCTGCCTTTATAACCATTCATATTCATAGGATATGATCTTCATTTGCACTTACATCGATAATATACTGTTATTTCACAGTTACTCCCCAATGTCTCTAACCAGTGGTATTTTTTTTTGTAGATTATTTAAATTTTAATATTACGATTAAGAACTCTTCCAGCTTCGGATTTAGACATTAAATAATTGTTCAATATCAGGGATGTAATGGTTATGAAATTTCGGATACGGATAAGTTTCGGATATAGGAATGATTATTATACCGGATACGGATATAAAATTATTTCGGATCATCCGTTATTTTCGGATAATTTCGGTTACGGATATTAATTTTTTTGTCGTCGTAACACAACACTTGTTTCAATGACACGCTGACAAATTATCTGTTTACATTAAGAATGGGTACGTAGCGGTTTCTATGTTGATTAGCACATGCCTCTTACTTGTTATGGTTTAATTTTTATATGTAAAAAAACATTTATTTAAAAGAGCAACACAGAAGTTCCTTTGCATCCTTCTTGTGATGAATCTGTGTTCCGAATGAGTGTTGAATAAAAAATATGAATGTTCAAAACTGCTTGTATTGAGTTTAGTTGAATTTGAATTTGGTAGAATAAAAAATATGACATTATAACTGCTTGAAACTTTTATTTCGGATTCGGTTACGATTGCGATTTTTTTTATATTGTATATCCGATAGTTTCGGTTAGTTTTGTTTACGGAGCTCCCTAACATCCCTGTTCAACGTTATATACAAGTTATAGATTTATATTTTTACTTCACAGCTACTGCTCACAAGTTGGAAATTAATTAAATAAATATTGTAGTTTGTATTCTTGTAGCATCATCATCATCATCATCTGCTTCTTCCTTATCCCATTTATTTGTGGTCGTCGTAATATGTTGTTCTCTTCCATTCATCTCTGTTCGCAGTCATCCCGTTATTTACTACCTTTCTCACCATATCATCTTTCACACAGTCCATCCATCTCTTTTTCGGTCTTCCTCTACTCTTATAACCATCCACATTCATATGTAACACCGTCCTTAGGATATGATCTTCATTCCTACGCATTACATGTCCATACCACGATAGACGATTACTCTTTAACCTCTCCGACATCGGTTCCACTTTCATACTTCCACAGCTTGTATTTTTGTAGCGTCAGCTGAAATTGAGAGCAATAAAAATACAAATTTAATAATAATCACTATTTAATTACAATTAGGCGGTGTTTAACATCTATAAGCTTATGGTTTTATAACATAATGTTTATTTATTTTTATTTCTTATCGTCTTCAGTGAATGAGCTTCATTTCAATAATCAATTAAATTATTAATTTCAATTATAAATATATGTATATTATCAGTGATTGAACTTCATATTAATGTTCAATTAATTTCTAAAGTTTAATTATAAATATACGAGTATGTTATACACATTTTAATGAATATAAATTTATTGTTTATTAAAATTATTAGAAAGCATGTAAAATTCTCAACAAAACTCATTTGTGTAGTTAGGAAGCGGTTATACAGTATTTTTAGGTACACAAATGAGTTCAAATCTTTGTATAAGGCAATAACCTATTGAATATTAAGTTTTAACTATTACGGTGTTATAAATAATACTGATGGAAACGTATTATAGTAGAGATTATTATTTAAATAGGTTAATTTATAAATAAGCAGACATACTGGCAGCATGGTATATAGTTTTATAGTTCATATTTACATTGTATCTTTATATTGTATTAACAATTTTATTATATACTACTTTACCCGCGAGTTCGCGACGCGAAAAATCGGTGTTACTGTTTGTAATATTGAAATAACCGTTTTTTATTACATGTATAATATATAAATATATATATATATTTATATGGCCGTTGGGGTAGTAAAGTCCTCGAGTGGCGACCACGAACCGGAAGACGCAGCGTGGGAAGGCCTCCAGCAAGGTGGACCGACGATCTGGTCAAGATCGCTGGAAGGCATTGGATGCGAGCAGCGCAGAACCGATCGTCGTGGAGATCTTTGGGGGAGGCCTATGTCCAGCAGTGCACGTCTTCCGGGGTGCGATGATGATGATGATAATGATGATATGAATATAAATACGATACGTACACCAAAATAACATTTTACAATTATTGCCTGTCTGTCTGTCTGTTTATTCCGGCTAATCTCTGAAATGGCTGAACCGATTTTGACGGGACTTTTTTTGGCAGGTAGCTAACTGATATAATAAGGAGTAACTTAGGCTACTTTTATTAAAAAAAATATATATTTTATTATATATATATATTATATTATATATTAGACGAAGTAGCGAGTACAACTAGTTAATAATAAAAACTATAACTGTTCGTTGTCTGTACTGGAAAGCATGATAAAAACAATCATTGTGGAATTTTATCTATGTACGATAAGTAATAACCGAAAACAATGTTTGTTACATTCTTTTATCTGTCTGTTTGTACGTTGTACTTGCGCTGAGCATAGAAACGGCTTAACCGATTTGAGTGGTGATATAAAATTTTGTTTTTGATTTATTTTTAAACTAGCTACAAAAATAAAAAATGTACCGTATTTATATTCATATGCTTGTAGTAAAAGACAGTTATTTCAATATTACCAACAGACACTCCAAATTTATTTATGTGTATAGATTGTCCACTTGACTGTACGATATATATCTTTATAATTACTAATATTATAAATGCGAAAGGAACTCTGTCTGACTGTCTCGCTTTCGCACCAAAACTAATAATGAAATTTGTGAACATAGAGAACCCTGAGAAAGTAAATAGGCTACATTTTAATGCGAAAAAGGGTTGTAACGGGTTGAATAGGAAGATAAAAAGTTATTAAAAAAAATGATGATACATTTTTGAAAATTATTTTTAGGCTTAATTTTTTTTTGTTTAGGCTGCTGCCTATAAATATAAATGAATTTGACGTTCAGAGTTAAAAAAAAAATACCCATAGGGGGTAAAATAGAATAAGGGATGAAAGTTTGTATGCAAAAATTTGTCATTTGTCATCTATTCCACGCGGACGAAGTCGCGGGCACACCTAGTATGTAAATAAAAATGAAATAACGTTTGTCAATCTCGCTAAAACTGAAGAACGGCTGGACCGAATTCATCATCATCATCATCATCGCAGCCCGGAAGACGTCCACTGCTGAACATAGGCCTGGACCTACTTGTCTTGACCGATTTTTATTTTGAAATCTTTACTCCACGGAACGTTTCAGCGGTGTGAAAATATGAAGAAATTGCATGGACAAATCACACGCCATAAACAATAATTTTATTTTCCCATACAAACTGTTCGTACCTGTCAAACAGGGTGCGTTCAGAAAGTTATTGCGTAACTAACTTCAAAAACCTTTGACATTTTATTCAATTAAGAGGCGACACGTAGTTTGCCGGGTCAGCTTGCATTTATTTAGTGTTCTGTACTTTATCAGGTTATTTGTAAACATTAAATACTAATTTGCAATAATTTTTCCAATTCGTGTATTATTTAAGTACTTAATTTAATAAAACGATGACATAAATACGAATAACAATTGTAAAACATAATATTTTATTATAAATAGGAACTGTCAGTTTTATTGGGAGTTGAGTGTATTATTATCACAATTAATTTAGTAGACACAAATCTTAATACTTAAAATACAATTTTCTTATATCTAAACAGCTATACAAGTCTGTTTTAATTATATTTCATAGGACACACAATTTTAATTTATGTATTCTATATGCATATGGGGATTAATAACTAATATATAGGAACATTTCAATTATTAATTTAGAAATACAAACATAGTACTAAATATATTAAATATTTGAGACTTCCCTTTTTATGTATTTATTATAACATCACATCATTACAGCCTGCTTACACAAAAATATTTAAAAAACTAAAACCACAGATAAAATAATATTACATACCATAAACAAACTTTTGGTTATTTTATTTTTTACTCTGTACTTATGCGAATGAATTCGTAAGCTGTGTACATAACGGTATATCATTATTTTTAAAATTTCGTGGTTAATATACATTATTCATATAATTAACCGGGTCTTAACACGAATAATTTCGCATCGCAGATGGCCTTTACAGCTTCACCGGACGATAGGGGGCGAGTGCAGATCCCCGTTTGAATTGGAAGGGGGATCGATCGGAGGGGGTTGCACTGGCTGTGGTCACGAGCTGGCTGACCGTGAATACCTTTTTTGTTATAAAATTATGACAAAAAAGGTATTCACGTTATATTATCAAGATAAGAGCTTATTTACCTAAATGCCGTCTACACAAAGTTAGTAATTCATTTTATGGTAATTGCGTAAGATTCTATAATAAACTGCCAGAGTCTACGCTAAATCTTACAGAGAGGCAATTCAAATCTTATATTAAACAAAGGTTATGTAAAAAGCCTATTATAAGATAGATGAATTTATAGATGATAGCAATATACAGCAAGAATAAGTTTATTTGCGGACAACGTTACAATTTTAATTTTCATACTGCTTTCTTGATATATGATAGCGTAGCGGCTTTTGTATTGATTGCCGCATGCATCCTTATGTAAAGTGCGAATACTGTAACTACCACATAGTAATTTTTGTAGCTGACGTGGTCGTGTGGAATGAATAGTCATGCTCACTAAAATGTCCAGACATGTGGCGGCGTGGTGGGCCGGGTCAATGGGCTCCCTAAAATATGGTCGAGCGCAGTGATGGCTGGCTCATCCGTCATACTCGTGAACGAGTGCTGCTTGTAGGGACTGTTCTGCTCTTATCACTACGACTGATTTAATCTTATTGCATGATTATATTTGACCCAAAAAATTAGTGCTTGTTGGTAGTTTGTATTCACACATTTCGACTTGTAAATGTAAACTTACAAGGATTATTTAAAAGAGCAACACACAAGTTTCTTGCTCGTTCTTCTTGTGATGAGACAGCTTTCCGAACGAGTGGTAGATAAAAAACAAATTGTTATGACTATTCAAAAGTGCTTAAATTAAGTTTATTTGAATAAATGATTTTCTATTCTATTCTATTCTATTCCTTTTTAAAAGGCCGACAACGTACTTGCAATTCCCCTGGTGTTGCGGGTGCTCATGGGCGGCGGTAATCACTTACCATCAGGTGAGCCGCATGCTCGTTTGTCCCGTGTTATAAAAAAAAAATTATATTATTACCGACCCGGTAATAATATCCGGATCGTGATATGACCCGGTTAATAATATAACGGAAAATTTAATAAATTTATGTCATTAATATTTAACAAATTACGTATGAGATTCATATTAATTTAGATTTTTATATTTTTTTAAACCATTGCTGGGGTCTTCTGTCTTATCTCTTTTTAAGTATTGTAGTAGTAGGTAAGTAGTGATAGGAGATCCCGATCTTCTATAGGGTTGTTTATTATTATATTTCTACACGTGTACTTAAAGGTAGTTTTATATTAAACATTTCCATATGAATTTTGAGGTTATACTATGTAATATTATCTAATTTAACTTTATGGCAACACACACAAAATTAAGTTAGTATATTCGCAAGGTAAATTTATATTTTAAAGTAAATATATAGTGAATATACGAATGGTTCGCCTAGTACGAGGGCCAATCTGTAATCAACAATATTGTAGACTTATATTGAAACAAACTGTTACCCAAACACTCCTGATGTTTCAAGCGTCTAGTAGCTACGGTAACGGTTTACCATCAGATGGGCCGTATGCTTGATTGGTATTGGAAGTATGAGTCATCCTTTTACTATAAAGATTTGCATGTTTTTTGTAAACCAATTACTAAATATTTAATATATAATAATAATATCAGGACAATTGACACAGCGCCATCTAGATCCAAGTTAAACTTGTGTTATGGGTACTAGATAACTGATACAAATACATAGATAATTTTTGTTTTCGTAAATACATATTATACTTAGAAAATACCCAGACCGATAGAAACAAATGTACTCATAAATACAAATGTTTGTGCCGTGCGAGGAATCGAACCCGCGACCATCGGACGTAAAGCGGTGTGCTAGACCGCTAGACCACCGAGGTTGTCAATATTTGATATCAATGTATCAGATTACAATTCTAATTTTGACAAGACAAAATAAAATAATATATAACTCTGGACAATTAGCACAATGCCATAAAATATCATAAACTAATAAAAATATAAATCTGGATGATCAACATAGTGCCATCTAGTTCCATGGTAAGCAGAGCTTGTGTTATGGGTACTAGACATTGATTAAGATATAATGTAAGAGGCATTATTTTTAAGATATTACTTATAAGAGACGATAATTTCTATCAAAATTAACTCACTAATTAATTAGTCAGAATTACAAATCTCCTAAGCAGTGAAGACATAATAACATCTCTGAACAATTCACAGCGCCATCTGTTGGAGACTCCAACAAAATAAGAAGTAAAATTAAAAGTTCTAATTTTTTTGATGGAGTTCCAACACTAAGTCACAAGCTAAGCAAAGCTAGTGTTACATACATACATAGATAAAAAACATCCAGATTGCTACAAACAATTATATTGGTGAATACAAATGTTTGTACATTGGGGCCGTTCAAGTATTACGTAAGCACTATAGGGGGGCGGGGGCTCTTTTCTTTGCTTATTTTGGATGACATGGGGGTGGGGGAGTCTGTATGATGATTACGTCATCGGTCGTAATTTACTTTTTTACACGAATGGCAACCCTCACATTGTCTTTGCTAAAAAAACAATACATTAATTTAGAAATGTTTAAGTAAGCATGGGGGGAGGGGGTAAGAACTTTGCTTACTTTTGCTGACAAGGGCGATGGGGGGTAAATAATTGTGATAAATCTGCTTACGTAATACTTGAACAGCCCCATTGCGAGGAATCGAACCCTCTACCATCGGACATAATAATACATACATATATCAAACAGAGAACAGATAATTTTGGAGAACACTTAATTGAGAAAATGGATTCACTGTTTTATATCAGAAACAGTGGCGTAGCTACCGAGGGGTTAGGCGGGACAGTGCCCCGGGGCCCAAGCTCAGAGATCCCTCGAACCCTTACCAGAAAACCTCGATCGAACTGAACTTTTGAAAATTTCTCCCATTTTCAAAATAAAAATGACAGGTTGTAACCCGACTTTTATCATGGCAACTCAGTTGAGAGAAATTCGAAAGTTATACCTTCGTAATTCCCCTAAATTCTCTATGTGGGTTGGCAGTGTTGTCAACGTGACGGATAGCGATATGTGCTTTTTTTATTTACCCTAGACCCTTAGTTACCTAACTACGCCACTGATTACGTATTAATTGTCATCTGATCTCCATATAATTAAACTAATGTGAATTATAAAATTAAACCTTATAATTATTAGCTGAGAGCTTTAAGTGCCATAGCATAAGCTATAGCTAATAAAACTATTATTCTTTTGCCACATCTCCATTTTGGAATGTTCAACAGTCAAACTGTATTAAGTACTAACTCACTAATATTATAAATGCTAAAGTAACACTGTCTGTCGCTCTGTTCAGGCTATAACTATTGAACTTATTTGTTACACAGATAGTCTACATCCTGAAAGAGGAGGACATAGGTTTATTTTTAATGCGAAAAAGGGTTGTAAAGCGTTGAAAGTGGAGACGAAACTTATTTTTTAGGCTGTTGATTATATATAAATAGATATGAAATTAAAAGCTTGTAAAATATCTACCCTTAAGGGAGTAAAATAAAATAAGGGACGAAAGTACATACATAGAAATCCGTCATTTTTGTATCTAGACTGATATCATGCATGTCTTATAAAATAATTAGTCTAAATAATTAAAAATGCTATCCAATTTCACCATTCCACGCGGACGAAGTCACGGGCACAGTCAATGTAACATACGACTAATCACTATTTTCTCTCGTGTTCTTCTAACATACATACTGAATCGTTTGGCTTCTCGAAGTGCATAACCGACGAGTATCCTGAAAATAAAGTTTACGAGAGATAAGTTCACGGAACATAAATACACTCGATTTTGATCTTTACTGCCCTACAATTGACCCGAGTTTGCAATGTTTTTTTTATAACACAGGGGACAAACGAGCACGCGGCTCACCTGATGGTAAGTGATTACCGCCGCCCATGAGCACCCGCAACACCATGGGAATTGCAAGTACGTTGTCGGCCTTTTAAAAAGGAATAAGCACTATTCTTGAAGGTTTCAATATCGTATCGGTTCGGAAATACCATTGTTGGAAGGTGATTCCACACTGTGGTTGTGCGAGACAAAAAGTTTCTAGAAAACCGCACTGTGGAAGACCGCCATTCATCCAGATGATCAGGCTGGTATTTCAGTTTCTGGCGGGTGGTACGGTGTTGAAACTCAGCAGCTGGTATTAATCCGAACAATTCCTCAGAACATGTGCATGGTTGGATGGAATATACTAGCAGTGAGAAGACGTATGGGTATATATGGAGTAGGAGTATGGGTTTGTTAGTAATGTGGAGTAACTATCCCATCTATCTATAACAAGTACCATATGGTTCGTTAGTATCAGGTTGACTTCCATGCGGCAGGAATTTATCACAATGGGCTAACTGACCTGACCTCAGGTTCAACTTACAATCCTATACTGGTGCCCCGCCAGCGTATATCGTTAGGGCGGGTGCACCATTCCATTATTATACATAAAAAAAAAAGACTAACTCATACATCATACTCGTGAACGGACGCAGCTACGCCGTCGTCTGGTCGATTCGGGTTACGGTTAGGCTATTTCTTTATGACAAAATAACAATAGCACATGCAGGTGGTATCTCCATTCTCTTTTTTACTTTTGAATATTCATATTGTTTTATTCTACCGCCTGTCTATATATTTCTGATACATTATGTAACGAAATCTAAAAAAATGAGAACTCATTTATTACAAATTAATTATTAATTTAAATTGGATGAATTCCAAATATGAATTTAAATGAATGTACAACATGTACAACATTTATTAAAAATAAAGTACGAGCTGAGTTTCTTGTCAGTTCTCATCTCGAAATCATTCCGAACTGACGGTAGATTTGACATATCAAGTCTTTAATATACCTACATGAATAAAGATATTTTGAATTTGAATTTGAATTGATATAGAGGACTTATTACAATATAAGGAACGGACTTATTACAATTCGACGACCTCGATGGTCTAGTGGTCTAGTACACCGCTTTACGACCGATATTCGCGGGTTCGATTCCTCGCACGGCACAAACATTTGTATTCATGAGTATGATTGTTTGTATCGGTCTGGGTGTTTTCTATGTATAATATGTATTTATTTACAAAAAAAAATATCTATGTATATGTATCAGTTATCTAGTACCCATAACACAAGCTTTAGCTAGCTTAACTCGGATCTAGATGGTGCTGTGTGAATTGTCCTGAGATTATTATTATTATTATTGTTTTTTTTTATATCTATATTATATATCTCCCTTTGATGAGGTGTTAAACTTGTCGGTGAATATGAATGTGAATTATTATTATTATTATTTGTGTGTTTCGCTTTCTCAGCCTTTTTGCTGGAGTTTTACGCTTTGTAGCGTGTACCACACTTACGGGCCATAACCAAGTAAGTGCAGTGTGTGTGCGTTATTATTATTATTATTTTTTCTTAAAACAAATTCTCATCTCCCTCTTAAGGAGAGTAGATGGCAACATACCCCCGGCAGAAGCACAGTCGGCCGGGGTTCAGGACTCCAGGGAGAGAAACCGGCGTACAATGCGGGCAGAATCTAACAGCACCGCTTTCTGCATCTTTCCCGGGAGTGAGCCGCCCCGGAATCCCAACCGTCTGAGATGTTGTTCCAAACTGCTTGGGATAAGACCGTTCACCGACATAACGATTGGAATGATTTAATATTATTATTATTAAGGAAAACAAGGAAAACTTCAATAGGATATCGTCAACAGTATATTTATATATAAATTAAAATCTAAAAATTGTTTCCATATACGTAAAACAAAATGTACATGTGAAATTACTAATACTGCTTCAAATAGTCCTTCAGGTACTTATTATATAAAACATATATAAGATACATTTAACATTATTTGATATAATAATAAATTTATATATTAATAATTAGATATTATTACTCATATATTGGGAATACTATAGCTCGTATCTAATCAAATTCATATGTTTATATTATATTAGGATATAAGTGCGTTGTGATGGTTATAAAACATGAGGCGAAATTTCAGCCCGAGGCGTAGTAGGCGTAATAGAGCCGAGTGTGTTAAAACGACCGTATATCGTACAACGTTTTTCAACACACTTGCGAGGAAACAATACACATTCGTGATATTATATTTTGTTAACTTGAACATTATTTCGGTGTTTTACTCATTTAAAAAAAATAAAAAAAAAAGAAAAATAGTAATTACTGATATTATATTTTGTTCATTTCCACACTTTTCCGGTGTTTTAATTATATAAATCTAATTTAAATACTGCTGTTATTTTTTTTTAATAAGTTTTTTTTCTATTTTGACATGTAATTTCACGCTTATGGAACTCGTTATGAAATATAACTTCAACATTTGAGTTTACAACGCACGCGTGTTGTATAAACTGCTTTGTATATCGAAACCCTATGAAATTAGATCCATTTTACGAGCAAGTGTATTAAAAACACATTTAGTGCATTTATATTACGTTTTATAAATTCTTCTTTATAAATTTATCAAATGAACAGTGTATATGTGAAGTGAAGTAGGATGTATGTAAGACATATCGAGCATGTCATGACGAGGTAACCCAACAAATGTTCTACTTAATGTTCAATTGTGACAGATTGTAGTACACAAAAATTACAAAAAAGATTTTAAAATGCAGTAGTAATAAAAATGCATATAAGTTATTGCCCTCCTAATGGATGTACAGAAAAGGTCTAAGTTGCTTGCACTGCATATTATTACTAAACATCTGCCTGCGGTTATACTCCCATTTAAAAATTCTAGTCCATGTATTATTCTGATGTATAAGCTATATTTCTGTAAAGTTTCACTAAAATCTGTTGAGTAGTTTTTGCGTGAGAGCATAACAAACAACTGTGGCACAAATACACTAATTTATTGGAGATAGTGAGTGATTTTTATTTAAGAAAGGAACTATATTGCTATACAACCATCTATACACACGACATCGACATCCAGGCGACCTCGGTGGTCTAGCGGTTTAGCACACCGCTTTATGACCGATGGTCGCGGTTCGATTCCTCGCACGGCACAAACATTTGTATTCATGAGTATGATTGTTTGTATCGGTCTGGGTGTTTTCTATGTATAATATGTATGTATTTACAAAAAAATATCTATGTATACGTATCAGTTATCTAGTACACATAACACAAGCTTTCGCGTTTATTATTTTAGTATGATAACTAATTGGTCCCGCGTGATATTTCTGAACATGATTACAGTTTTTTTTAATCGTAAATAATCTATACATATAAATAAAATTGGAGTGTCTGTCTGTAATATTCATTTAACCGTTTTTTATAACATGCATATACGGTACACATACCAAAATACAATTTTTTATAATTTTTGTCTGTCTGTCTGTCGGTCTGTTTCTTCCGGCTAATCTCTGAAATGGCTGGACCGATTTTGACGGGACTTTTTTGACAGGTAGCTGATGTAATAAGGAGTAACTTAGTCTTACTTTTATTTTAGAATGTATTTTTTATTTTAGAAAAAAAGTATAAAAATAAATTCCTCGCGGATGACGTCGCGGGATCATCTAGTCGCAAATAAACATGTATTCAATAGAAAAACCTTGAGGAATTGAAAATAGGGGCGTAATAAGAAAAAAAACGCAAGTCCGATTTCCCACGATGGGCTAACTGACCTGACCTCATGCTCATATTATCACCCTCCACTGGCTCCGCCAGCGTAAACCGTTAGCGCAAGTGCACCATTTCATTATCACATACAAAAAAAAATTACCCTATATTTTGTATTTTCACTGCCCTGTGTCACCCTTATACCGAAACTTTCTTATAAAACAAGCTCCTTACATATCTTTCTACAAAGTAGGTATACTTTAGAATACATGCTGTTATAATAAATGCTATTCGGCAATACATGCTGTTATATATGTAAGCGTCTTATTATATGTTTTTATATAAAAAAAATTACAATAATCGTTTCCACCAACATATATATCGGTAATCAGACATATATTTATTGTTTCACATGTGTATATACAATATCATACATAATTACATAGTACATAACAATAATAAGAATAATATCTCAGGACAATTCACACAGCGCCATCTAGTCCCAAGTAGCAGAGCTGGTGTTATGTGTACTAGACATGGATTCAGTCATTTGTTCTAAAAAAATACACCGACCAAAAACAAGTGATGAGAAATTTCCCTTTCTTTTCGGTAGACGCACACTTGCATGGGTCTCAGGGTTGCCAACCTTATGATAGGTTTTTTAACATTCTAGATTTTTTTTATATTCTAAATATCGTTTCAGTGGGGATTGGGGGTCCTGCTGCCCAAAAAGCCCTTAGGTACAGCCGCCCCTGAACACTAGGTTGTATATCAAATTTAGCAGCTTCTAAGTCTTTATAATGCGACATGTATGTTGGTGATAATGTGTGTAGTATATTATACATATATTAGTTATTTATCAGTAAACATTTCTCTAAATGTATATAATTGACTTACTTAAGTCTACATATTAATTGAAATAATCTATAACAAAAAGGTTATAAATAATTAATAATAAATCATCCTTAAATTATGTTACTGACAATGGAAAAATTAAAAAACAAAAAAAATAAATTATGGAAAATATGTTTACGTATAATAATATTTCTTTATTTTAAAGAATTAAGTGTTATTTTGCGGAAGTTGATCATATTACTGGATGTATCTATATTATTTTGTTTAATTCCGCTAACATTAGCATGTGTGAGACCACAAATATTCAATATGCAAACCTGACGACCACTACTGGAAGCGATACGCCCTCCTCTATTGGTGATCAAATTCCGACCGTTATTGAGTTTATACACCCATATTACACGTGTTTCGTCTCTGAACGAGCCATAAGTCATTGAATAGAGTTCGGATATAGCTTGAAAGCCTAGTGTTGTTCGGCGAAGTCTCAGTTTGGTCGCAGAACAGTCACTGCTAGGCTTTCTGTACTGTACTCGCATGATTGCGGATAAAATAAAAATAAAACTTGATAAGATCCCGTAATTTCCTAATTATAGGTATACTAGCTGTCCCGGTAAACGTTGTTTTGCCATATAAATTAATAACGCTATAAAAAATAGGGGTTGATGATAGAAGCGTGAAAATTTAGGATTGTATGTATTTTTGTACGTTGTATCATAAAAAAATAGAACCTAAAAATTTTGTCTAAATAATAAAATAAAAAAATTTAGGGTTGGAGTACACCTAACATTTAGGGGGATGAAAAATAGATGTTGGCCGATTCTCAGACCTACTCAATACGCTCACAAAATTTCATGAGAATCGGTCAAGCCGTTTCGGAGGATTATGGGAACGAAAACTGTGACACGAGAATTTTATATATAAGATATGATGAACGCGTCAAATTTAAAACAGTATAAATCTATTAAGTATAATATGGTACACAATTACCTAGATACATCAAAATAATAATTGCATTTAATAATGTCTAGTAAGACAAATTCAATATTGTGTACTAAGCACTGCTGTGTCTAAACTGTGTCACCCCACCTTACATTTTCCTACTGTTATTTAGTATATAAGATCATTATTTCTATGTACATATTGTCAGTCTATTATCAACTGTAATATACATCGTCTCGACCAACAACATCGTATCATTTTACCCGTAACATATAACGATATTATTATACACATATTATACATAAATTAAATTATTATATAATACTAATTATTAGTTAACAATGTTTTGTGTTAGTCAAAAAAGTTAGGCCATGCATAGTCAATTTTTAAAACTACAATATAATTTGGCACATATACTATGTCTTAGATTAGAATAAGACATTATGTCCCAGTTAACTTATTACATTAGATAACATAATAAACGTATAGTCTGTTTTTCAATCTCGGAGACTAATTTGACAGGTGTAAATGTCAAATTGTCAAATAATGTTACCACCTATAGCGGAGTAGTGGTGTACTTGCGATGCCGATTTGTTTAATCGGAAAATTTTATTTTAACATAGTTTTATAGCTTTAAATGACGTTTCCACAACAGAATTTTATAATTTACATACATATACTAGTGTTTCAATAACTGTCGTTGTATTATACAGCATAAACATACATTTTTAGTTTAATATTATTTGAATTGTTTAACTATAAAGTAAACGTGTACAAAACGCTGCTGTATTTACTAAGCAATTTTATTTTTGCAAGAATATTGTCAAGGCTGTACTAAATATTAGTTCAATAAACATTATTATTATTATTATTTTTGCCGTTTCCGTACAAATAGTAATTATTACAGTATTAAGCTACAAACCAATACTTTTTACTATCAAACAGCTAAATATTTCAAATAGGTGTTTTTTTATGATATATGACACTATAAAAAGGTCATTTGTTTTATAAAAAAGGCAGTTAGTCTTTAGTTTGAAAAATAAGAAAATCTATTTTGATACAACAACGATATATTTTTGAATACATTAATAAGTTTGTGTTGATGCGTTTTAAATAAACACCCACGCACTATTTCTGAGTAATCTATAAAAATGGGTAATTAATATTATTTTCCGATAGCCACAATTCTGTTTAAAAAATGGAAAAACCTGGCAACATCTGAAATGTCATATATTATATTTGTCCCCGAGATTAAAAAACAGACTATAGTAATAAGTATAACATAATTTGGATTATATAAATAAAGTTAAAAAATAAATTGTATATGGATTATTGTTAAATTTCTGGTAATAACGGGTAAGTATTAAGAAAACTGAGCTATATGTTGCCAACAAACTGTTCTGCAGTTTGGCGAGTCATTGTATAAAAATAAATGTTAGGTACATTTATTTAAAAAAAGTCCCGTCACAATCTGGCTTGACCGATTTTGACGGGACTTTTATTGGCAATGTAATAAGGAGTAACTTAGGCTACATTTATCTTAGAAAAATAAAGTTATATTCCACCCGGACTAAGTCGCGGATGCAGCTATTTTATTGTATAATTACGGCTGTATGGACTAGTCTAGTTAACATTACGTATTAGAAAGTCTTAATAAATAAATATAATAAATAATAATGTCAAATACACTATAATATCGTCAGAATACGCTGTATATTAATTATTTAGTGTATTTTATTATATAATTACGGTTATTTAGACCAGTTAACATTACGTATTAGGAAGTCTTAATAAAAATAAATAAATATAACAAATAATAATAAATAATGTTAAATACATCGTAATATCGTCAGAATACGCTTAGTAAATACTATATAACAATAATAAATACAAAAAAACATACATATTAGTACGGTTAGCAAATCTATATTTACACATATATATCGTTAAGTTTTATTGACATTCTATATTATTTATCGGTTTTCTTGTTACCTGGCGTTAGGAAGTTTTGTTGTACTCTATTTCTGAGGGCGTATTGGGCTATTAAATGTAGCACGCAGAAGATTAAGGATCCCACGCCGAACCAACGGAAGGTGGCCGCTCCGCCGTAATGCTTGTATAGTTGACCCCCGATCAAACTGCCCATTGAAGTGCCCACGCCTTCGAAAACGGCCCCCACTAAACCCTGAAACATGGGGGGAGGGGATTGTTAGTAATGTGGACTAATGATCTCATTGCTAGCAATGTACCATGTCAGGTTGACCTCCACGCGGTTCCCCCTGGAAACCATCGTGATAAATTCCTGGTGAATTTGTCACGTTGGGCTAACTGATCTGACTTCATGTTCATCTTATCATCCTCCACTGGTGCCCCGCCAGCGTAAACCGTTAGCGCAGGCGGGAACACCATTCCATTATCATCCACTAAAAAAAAAAAAACCCTGAAACATTAGACATAGGATAGTTAGTGTTGTAGTAATAAGAAAAAAGACTAGGTAAACGGAGAAAATATATTTATATAGACTCCTGACAATTAGGAATAAAAAAAAGGAATTGAAATATCAAATACAAGAATGTAATATAAAAGAACTATAAAATCAAATACAAATTTAGAATACAAAATACATATCTGATTAGCCAGTTACAACAGTTAGATAGATAGATAATTCTTTTATTGAAACCCTCAAACATTAGACTAAACCTTGAAACATTAGACTAAACCCTGATACATTAGACATAGCATAGTTAGATCGTTAAGTTGTTGCAATAAACGCTTCATGAGAAGAGGTCACAGTTTCATTTAAAAACACTCTTCCTTTTTGTCGCGTACCAAGCAGTAACAAAACGCAAAAAAAAAAAATTAACAGTATCTTTGTATTAAAACAATCATAGTATCTTAAGTTAACATAACAGTATTGTTACCTGAACAGTGGTTTCAGCACCGGCCGGTGCGATTGCGTTTGCGTAAGACGTCATGGTGGGGTAGAACATGCCGTAGGTGATGCCCTGCAGCATCTCTATGGGCAGCACCCACCACGCATTACTGAGCACAGAGTACAGCAGGAACCGCACACCGAACGCGAACAGCACCAGGCTCATCATTCTGATATGTCCCACTTTCCTTAGAATATATCCTAGAAATAAAAAAATATACTATTATATATGGTATAGTTATAAAAAATGGATTATGTAATATGCCGATATAAATAGGAACAAGGTTTTCCCTGCAATCAATCCCCCAACCGATTCAAACTACGACGGGGATCTAAATTACGACGGCCAGAGACAAGGTTCGAATCCCTAGTGGTGCCCTCAGATTAGGGTCGTATCCGTTAAGCAAGAGTTGGCCTTTAGCCGCTCCATAAGTACTTCCATTAATCGTTGGCAGCAGGGATGTTATGGATATAAAATTTCGGACATAAGGTTTCGGATATAGGATCTGGTAACAGCCCAAACCCCCAATAAAAAAAAGTATAGTGCCAATTGCACTCGGCCAGTTAAGCTTTAAAGACAAGCTGCATCAACAGCATTAGAGTAGTCCGAAAAAACAACAATTCGGCCGGACCCACCTTATAAGGTCGACCACAGATCGCGATCCAATTCATATTCGGAAAAATATAAATAGAAAAACATTGACAATAAATTAATGTCATTTTAGACCACGTAAATAGCAAACAAACATACAGTCCATCTGATGGTAAACTGTTACCGTAGCCTAGACGCCTGAAATACTAGGGGTGTCACATGCGAGTTGCCGATCCTTAAGAACCCTTCTTGAAAAACTCCATGCTGTAGTCTCGTGAGAAAACCTCGGCAGGAAGTTCATTCCACAGTCAAAGTGTACGCGGGAGGAAGCTCCTCTGAACCTTAATATACCCTTCTTAAAAACCCCATGCAGTAGTCTCGTGAGAAAACCTCGGCAGAAAGTTCATTCCAAAATCAAAGTGTACACGGGAGGAAGCTCCTCTGAACCTTAATATACCCTTCTTAAAAAACCCCATGTAGTAGTCTCGTGAGAAAACCTCGGTAGGAAGTTCAGTCCACAATCAAAGTGTACGCGGGAGGAAGCTCCTCTGAACCTTAATATACCCTTCTTAAAAACCCCATGCAGTAGTCTCGTGAGAAAACCACGGCAGGAAGTTCATTCCACAATCAAAGTGTACACGGGAGGAAGGTCTTCTGAACCTTAATATACCCTTCTTAAAAAACCCCATGTAGTAGTCTCGTGAGAAAACCTCGGTAGGAAGTTCAGTCCACAATCAAAGTGTACGCGGGAGGAAGCTCCTCTGAACCTTAATATACCCTTCTTAAAAACCCCATGCAGTAGTCTCGTGAGAAAACCACGGCAGGAAGTTCATTCCACAATCAAAGTGTACACGGGAGGAAGGTCCTCTGAACCTTAATATACCCTTCTTAAAAAACCCTATGCAGTACTCTCGCGAGAAAACCTCGGCAGGAAGTTCATTCCATAATCAAAGTGTACGCGGGAGGAAGCTCCTCTGAACCTTAATATACCCTTCTTAAAAAACCCCATGTAGTACTCTCGCGAGAAAACCTCGGCAGGAAGTTCATTCCACAATCAAAGTGTACACGGGAGGAAGGTCCTCTGAACCTTAATATACCCTTCTTAAAAAACCCCATGTAGTAGTCTCGTGAGAAAACCTCGGTAGGAAGTTCAGTCCACAATCAAAGTGTACGCGGGAGGAAGCTCCTCTGAACCTTAATATACCCTTCTTAAAAACCCCATGCAGTAGTCTCGTGAGAAAACCACGGCAGGAAGTTCATTCCACAATCAAAGTGTACACGGGAGGAAGGTCCTCTGAACCTTAATATACCCTTCTTAAAAAACCCTATGCAGTACTCTCGCGAGAAAACCTCGGCAGGAAGTTCATTCCATAATCAAAGTGTACGCGGGAGGAAGCTCCTCTGAACCTTAATATACCCTTCTTAAAAAACCCCATGCAGTAGTCTCGTGAGAAAACCACGGCAGGAAGTTCATTCCACTATCAAAGTGTACACGGGAGGAAGCTCCTCTGAACCTTAATATACCCTTCTTAAAAAACCCCATGTAGTACTCTCGCGAGAAAACCTCGGCAGGAAGTTCATTCCACAATCAAAGTGTACGCGGGAGGAAGCTCCTCTGAAACCGCACTGTCCGAGACCACTTAAGTTCCAGATTAGGGATGGATTCTGTCGATGGCGTTCCTTCTGTTGATGACTCACCGGAAACAAACATGAACGGTATCTCTCCACCGAACGTTTGTATCGCACTAACAAGCCCCTGCAGGGTTTTGATATAATCCGACCCGTCACAGGTCATCGCTGCTATATCCTCCAGATGCCAGAACAGAAACTGCCATATCAGTGCAGTACTCAGCCCCACAGCTATCGTCCACAGTATAAATACAAATGTTGGCAGCGACGACAACAGTGTACCAACATCCGCTAAGATATTCATGGACATTTTTGTTGTATCCGTCTGAAAAATATTTTACTTTTTTAAATTTAAATTCAAATTCAAAAATCACATATTCATGTAGGACATTTTAGCCGCTTATGAACGTCAAGTTTATACATTATATTTTTTCCCCTACCGTCCAGTTCGGTATATAGATCCAATTGAGAAGAACTTTTAATTAAATTGGCATGTATTTAGATTATTATAAAGTACTAGCTACTCGTCCCGACTTCGCCCGGGTGTACATGTATTATATATATAAACTCCTCTAGAATCACTTTATCTATATAAAAAAACCGCTTCAAAATCCGTTGCGCAGTTTTAAAGATTTAAGCATACATAGGGACAGACAGCGACAGCTTTTATACTACTGATGTAACTTGATATACATACACTAGGTGACGCGACTTTGTCCGCGTGAAATAGTGCATCTTCTTGGATAGCATTGCAAAGTATAGCGCCATTGTGTCCCACGGTAAGCAGAACTTGTGTTATGGGTACTAGACAACTGATATAAATACTTAGATATATTTTTATAAATACATACATAATATACATAGTAAACATCCAGACCGATACAAACAATCGTACTCATGAATACAAATGTTGCTATGAGAGGAATCAAACTGTCTTTTTGTCTGTCTGTCTGTCTGTATGTTCGGTATAGAAATAAAAACTACTCGACGGATTTTAACGCAACTTGGTACAATTATTCTTCATACTCCTGGGCAGGTTATAGTATACTTTTCATCACGCTACGATCAATAGGAGCAGAGTAGTGACGCTAAATGTCACATCAAAACCACTGAACCGTGAGGAAGGACATAGGCTACTAATTTTACTAAAAACGACTAAAACGCAGACGAAGTCGCAGGCAACAGCTAGTAATATATAATATTTGCAACCATTCTCATTGTACCTACGAAATATGACTGTCATCTTAAAAAAAATCTTATTTTTAACTTTCAGACCTCTTTGTCAATTCAGACTTGATAACTGTGTTGTACAGGCGACAAAATAATCACCATTTTATAGAAAGGCTAGCTGTTCCCGCGACTTCGTCCGCGTGGAATTTTATTTTAGTTTTCTAGAATAAAAGTAGCCTAAGTTTACTCCCTATCATATCAGCTACCTACGAAAAAAGTCCCGTCAAAATTGGTCCAGCCATTGAAGAGATTAGCCTGAACCAACAGACCGACAGTCAGACAGACAAAAATTGTAAAAAAATATTATTTTGGTGTATGTACGGAACTTACACCAAAATAACATTTTTAAAAATAAAAATAACAATTTATATCTATATGCATGTAGTAAAAAACGATTATATGAATATTACAAACAGACACTCCGATTTTATTTATATGTATAGATTTGATTGTTACAATAAATAAAATAATTTATAAATGTTAGTAATGTTTTTGAAGAAAATATCTAACTTAAAATTCATAGCGCTGACAATGTTATCTGATTGAACAGGGATTAAGTGCGTAGCGGTTTCTATGTTGATTGTCGCATGCCTAAACCTTTAAATACATATTGTATTAATTAGATTTACATTAATAAATCTAATTAATACAATATTCATTTAAAAGAGCAACACACAAATTTTATGCTCATTCTTCTTGTTTTGAATCTGCATACCGAATGAGCGGTAGAATCAAAGAAAATGACTATTCAAGTTAGTTTATTTGAATAAAGATTATTTCTATTTCTACCAACTTACTTTCAAAAAACACGATACTGCAACATCTCCACACATAAAGACGAACATAAGGAGAAATGCAATAGCATAGTTTTTGTACGCTCCCTCACTGAACAGGTCTATAAGAGCTCCTGTTGTTAATGAGAATATACCAAAACCAACGGAGCCCCATAGTCTTTGTTTACCATAATGTGAAATCTTGTCACCTGAGAACAAAATGATATGATCATTATCATTACATAGTATAAAATAAATTCACTGTCTGTTTCGGAGGAGGTGGTGTAATATTGTGACATAAAAAATTATATATAAGCAATAATAATCTCAGGACAATTCATACAGCGCCATCTAGACCCAAGTGAAACTAGCTAAACCTTGTGTTATGGGCACTAGACAGCTGATACAAATACATAGGTTTTTTGTCGTAAATACATATATAGTATACATAGAAAACAGCCAGACAGTTACAAACTATCATATTCACGAATACAAATGTTTGTGCCGTGTGAGGAATCGAACCGGCGACGAAGTTTGGCGGTGTGTCATACCGCTAGATCATCGAGGCCGGCGAGGTGTAGTCACTTACCGTCACGTGAGCCGCAAGCTCATTTGTGCTTATACTAAAAAATGAAAAGTGTAATTACCTAGTAAATGGAAACATATTGCATCAGCAAATGTGACTACAACCGCCTGTCCAATCCAACTCGTGATCATCAACATGAAGAACAGCCAGAACTCCTTCGTGTATTCTGTACTATCATTATTATCGGATGCCGCATCGAAAATTTCATTTAACTGAAATTGAGAAAATTATCATAAAATAGTTGTTTATTCACTTACATCTATATCTGAATCTGCCAGAAAAAAAAATCAAATGTGTTATAAAATATTTTCTTTGTTAAAAAAAGCTTATTACAAAATTGAAGTATTTTTTTTTATCAATATAGGGTTTGCATTTGATTCAGCAAAAGAAGAATGAGCAAGAAACTTGTGTGTTGCTCTTTTTAAAAGATGTTTTTTTTCTACCACTCATTCAGAATGCAGATTCAGCACAAGAAGAATAAGCAAGAAACTTGTGTGTTGGTCTATTTAATAGATGCTTTTTTATATAAATAATTACGGTATAACAAGTAAGAGGTAAGACCAAGCTCTTACCTCATCTAATGGTAAATGATGGTAAGACCTAGGATGTAGCTCGCTTACCCAGATATATCTATTCACCATAAACTTGAAGAATCCGGAGTTGTATATCTCCGGGAACACAAAAGCTGGAAGTGTGTTCCACTCTTTGGCAGTGCATATTAGGAATGATGGAATGGATTTATAAATGTATAAAATAAATATTCTGCCAGCCAGTGCTGCCTCTTTGGTCATTATTGTATTACCGTAAGTTATAATAATAATAATCTAAGGACAATTCACACAGCGCCATCTAGACTATTCTAGACCCAAGTTAAGCTAGCTAAAGCTTGTGTTACGGGTACTAGATAACTGATACAAATACATAGATATTTTTTTTTGTAAATAAATACATATTATACATAGAAAACACCCAGACCGATACAAACAATCATACTCATGAATACAAATGTTGGTGCCGTGCGAGGAATCGAACCCGCGACCATCGGTCGTAAAGCGGTGTGCTGGACCGCTAGACCACTTAGGTCGTCATAAATTATACATACCAGACTATTGTTACAGTTAATTTCACAAGACGCGTGGAATAGTTCATATTCTAGTTGATATATCGCCTTTGATTTACAGATGGGGTAGTGAATTGAACCTGTAAACAATAAACAGGGGATGGTAATATAAAAAAAATAAACTAGCTTTATACCGCGACTTCGTCCGCGCGGAATATAACTTTATTTTTCTAAAATAAAAGTACGTTACCTACGTTATTCCTTATTACATTAGCTACCTGCCTATAAAAGTTCCATCAAAATAGGTGCAGCCATTTCAGAGATTAGCCGGAATAAACAGACAGACAAAAATGGTAAAAAATGTTATTTCGTGTATGTAGTTAGTTAGTGTATGTACCATATTTATATTGTAGTAAAAACGGTTATTAAATACTATAATATATTACAAACAGACACTCCAATTTTATTTATATGTATAGATGTACTAACCATCTGGTAATGTTATGTGATTAAGTTGAACATAGAAACATTCGCCTATAATGATGGCGGTAGATGGCAGCACGGTGCCCGTGAAGGTTAAATTGGTCGGGAAACTTTCACCAGACCTCATTTTCGGCTGGCAACTCCTGGCTACATCCGCTTGCCAACTGTCGCATAACTCCATGAGCTGCCACGGTTGTACCAACTCGCAGGACGCCTGTATTAACAAAATATAATTATTTTTGTGATGAGACTGCGTTCCGAATGAGTGGTAAAACAAAATTGATTCATTTGTTGTTTCCCTCAGGAGTATCACGGTTATATTTCTTCCATGTCTATAACAGTACGTAAGGACAATGGCTGTATGGGCTGAGTCCTTTTGCCTTTCCCTAAAAAGGGAAAAACCGAACCAAAAAAAAAAAGTACGTAAGGAGGGTACATATACATACTGTTATATATTTATTTGTATCAATATAAAAATACCTACCGCATATATCACGGGAAGTGTTCTGAAGAATTGTTCGGATTAATACCAGCTGCTGAGTTTCACCACCGTACCACCCGCCAGTAACTAAAATACCATCCTGATCATCTACTAGAAACTTTTTGCGCACAACCACATTGTGGTATCACCTTCCAGCAATGGTATTTCCGAACCGATACGATATTGAAACCTTCAAGAAAAGAGCTTATTCCTTTTTGTTCAAAATCTACCCTGTACCATCGTTAGCACAGATTATTATATTAGAGTCCGTTAGTTTGTGTTCCCGCGGTTTCTGTTCCCCTCCCTTATCTACAGTACTGAACTGACCGTACAGCGGCCATGACGCGAGCGCGCATTGTGTTGTGAATTAAAATAAATTAGAACCGTGTTAAACCTACTGTGAAACTGGAAAGCTAGCGAAGATATCTTCGAGACCCTGAAGCCCAAGAAATCCGCAGAACCATACAGGTACGTGACAGACGCTTCCACACATATTTTTCCCTATATATATACATAGTACTTTCCCTAACATTTTGGTAGCAGAGAGTATTTTCCCTAAAGGACGACAACGTACTTGCTATACCATTGGTGTTGCGGGTGCTCATGGGCGGCGGTAATCACTTACCATCGGGTGAGCCACATGCTCGATTGATCCCTGAAGTATAAAAAAAACATTTACCGTGCATTCGCTCTCCATGTCGTTGCTCAACACTGTCAGCTGCGCTGTATCGTTGGTGCAGTAACGATAATTGAGGGTGCTGTCCAAACATATCATATCTGTTTTATGATATCCCAATACTCCGGATAACATATCGTTTGTGCAGTTGAGAGTGCATGGATGGCTGATGTTTACAAAACCTCCGCCCGTTCGACATTGCGGGTTGTACTTGTAACCTGCAAATAGTTATTAAATACATATAAATATGTAAATATATATGTACCCGCAACTTCGTGGCGTGGAATTTAACAAAAAAAAGTTAATTACCTACTGAATTTTTCTAAAATATGAGTAGCCTATGTTACTCCTTATTACATCAGCTGCCAATAAATTCCCGTCACAATCGATCCAACCATTTCAGAGATTAGCCGGAACAAACAAACAGACAGACAGAAAGACAAAATTTTTAAAAAATGTTATTTTGGTGTATATACCGTATTTATATTCATATGCATGTAGTATGTTTTTTTTTATACTACTATTGTTGCAAACAAGCATACGGCCCATCTCATGGTAAATGGTTACCGTAGCCTATGAACGCCTGAAACACCAGGGGTATCACTTGCGCGTTGCCGACCCTAAAATGTATGTATGTTTATATCAAAATTACAAACAGACACTCTAATTTGATTTATATGTATAGTTTATAATAACTAGACTTATCTGTGTGTTGTTTACACCAGGTCTCATGTTGAGCGGAGCGCGTTTATTCTTAAAAACTCGAACTACCGATCGAAACTCGAACGACCGATCGGACTTTTTTTTTAATGGTAAACGATGGAGTACAGGTCGACCTTCGATGACAATTTGGTGTCGCTCGGACGAGTATCGTCGTTATAAAGAGTGTAATACTGATCTATAAGATCACTCCGCTTAAATGTTTCTTACGGCGTCAAGTTGGTTTAAGATTGGCCATCATTTGGGAGAAGGGGCTTGTTAGTAACGTGGATTAATGATCTCATTACTAGCAATGTACCATATCATTGACCTCTACGCGGAATACATCAGAGGAAGTATTAAAGTGGCACCGATGTCGGAGAGGTTAAAGAGTAATCGTCTATCGTGGTATGGGCATGTAATGCGTAGGAATGAAAATCATATCCTAAGGACGGTGTTACATATGAATGTGGATGGTTATAAGAGTAGAGGAAGACCGAAAAAGAGATGGATGGACTGTGTGAAAGATGATATGGTGAGAAAGGGAGTAAACAACGAGATGACTGCGAACAGAGATGAATGGAAGAGAACGACATATTACGCCGACCACAAATAAATGGCATAAGGAAGAAGCAGATGATTGACCTCCACGCGGATCTCCCTGGAAACCATCGTGATAAATTCTTTGTGACTTTGTCCCGATGAGCTAACTGATCTGGCCTTATGCTCATCTTATCATCCTCCACTGGCGCCCCGCCAGCGTAAACCGTTAGCGCAGGCGGGTGCAGCATTCCACTATCATTCTCTAAAAAATATTATACATAAGCTTCTTGCTCATTCTTCTTATGATGAGACAGCTTTCCGAATGAGTGGTAAAATAAAAAAATGTGACTATTCAAAAGTGCTTATATTAAGTTTATTTGAATAAAGATTATTTCTATTTCTATAACGCGGGTATACGATTGTCGATGTACGGTTGGATGGATTTTTGTTACATTATCATTCATAAAAAAAAATAGGCCATCATTTGATAGTAATAAATATCTTAATCCAACTTAGAATAAAAAATATCGTATCACATTATTTGCTATTAATCTTAAATTACTGAATTGATTTTGATGAAATTATAATTGTATATTCGGTGGGTTAATAGGTTGTTATGTATTTTTTATACCCCTAAACATATTTTATTGACTTATTTTATTTTTGTGTTTCCCAAAGCTAGAGTGAAACTTATTTCTTAAACTGTTGATTAAATACAACATTCAAAGTTTATAAAAATATTAATAAATATGACATTCAAAGTTTGTAAAAACTTTAACCCTTAAATATGTCAAATTAAAAAGAGACTGAGAGTTTGAAATTCCTATTTACTTAAGCTGGAACGACGAAACTTATTTCCTGCCTTTTTTGGGTTAGATTATTAAATATTTTATGTTATCCAAACTTACTATTCCACGAGGGCACAGCTAGTATAGCAACATAGCTAATAATCCGCGAATATAACAATCCTTTGCCCTCAATTATAGATGTATAGAGGTACACGAATATAGCAAGAGATTACTAGAAAAATTGTGCAGTAACAAATGAATGACACGGCAATTAGTATATAGAGAAAACATAACATTTATAATTAATAGCGATACGATAAGAGATTGCTATTCATATTTTATATTTCAAACTAGTTGATGCAACGACCGCGATTAATTTTTAAATTTAGGAAATAGTAAATAATCTTTTTTCAGATAAACTCATTACAAGCACTTTTGAATAGTCATATTTTTGATTCTACCACTCTTTCGGAATGCAGATTCATCACAAGAAGAATGAGCCAGAAACATCCATCCACATGTTGCTCTTTTGAATAGATGTTTTTTTTATTTAAATAATTACACAATAACAAGTAAGACGCATGCGATAATCAACATAGAAACCGCTACGCACTCATTTTAGTGCCATCAGATAATATTGTCAGCGCTATGGATTTTAAGTTAGATATTTTCTTCAAAAACATTATTACCATTATTTTTCGGTATTCAAAAGTCCTATAACAATCTCAAATCTATACATATAAATAAAATTGGAGTGTCTTCTCTGCTCCTATTGATCGTAGCGTAATTAAAAGTATACTATAACCTGCTCCTATTGATCATAGCGTGATGAAAAGTATACTATAACCTGCTCCTATTGATCGTAGCGTGATGAAAAGTATACTATAACCTGCTCCTATTGATCGTAGCGTGATGAAAAGTATACTATAACGGGCTCCTATTGATCGTAGCGTGATGAAAAGTATACTATAACCTGCTCCTATTGATCGTAGCGTGATGAAAAGTATACTATAACCTGCTCCAATTGATCGTAGCGTGATGAAAAGTATACTATAACCTGCTCCTATTGATCGTAGCGTGATGAAAAGTATACTCAAACTTGGGAGAATAGAGTGATCTCCAGTATATGGTGAAGCATAGTAGAGATACATATATGGTAGCGAAAAAACACATTACGCCGACCAAGAAAATGATAAGGAAGAAGCAGATGAAGTTAATCTAATGTGATAAGTCTCACCGTCTAAAATGACGTCATTAGTCGCAATGTTGGCACATTCTCCTTGAACCGTGATATTACCCACATGTGAGGAGTATCTTAAATTGTTGGTGCCACTGTAACAGTACTCTGGTATGTGCCAATGTTCGCATACAGTCTGCCACATCTTCGGAGACGACATGTCGCAGTTCATCTGAAGAAAATAAACATTATAGACACTTGTAGGAATGATATTCCTCATATTTTGATGTTGGCAATGTAAATAATATGGCGTTTAAAGAAATTTTGTTTCTCAATTGAATCTGTATACTGAACTGAACGGTAGAAAAAATGGTTAATATAAAAAATTTTGCGTTCATAAACGGCTAAAATGTCCTAGATGTATAAAGAATTTGATTAGAAATGGAAATAATCTTTATTCAAATAAGTTTAATATAAACTTTTGAAGTAATATTTTATTCGGCTTCAGTGGTCTCGTGGTATAGCATGCCGCTTTACTATCCGATGGTCGCGGGTTGGATTCCTAGCGCGGTACAAACATTTGTATTCATGAGTGTGATTGTTTGTATCGGTCTGGGTGTTTACTATGTATAATATATATGTATTTACGAAAAAAAATATATCTATGTATTTGTATCAGTTAGCTAGTACCCGTAACACAAGCTTTAGTTAGCTTAACTTGGGTCTAGATGGCGCTGTGTGAATTGTCCTGAGATTATTATTATCATATTTATTATCATATTCTATCACTCATTCTGAACGCTGATGCACCATCAGAAAAAAGAGCAGAAAACTTGTATGTTGCTTTGTTAAATAAATACACATTAACAAGTAAGAGGCAGGTGACAATCAACACAGAATCTGTGTGGACATAAAGGGTGATAAAAGGGCTTAGGTGCCTCAACAGCGCTGTCAAATACGAGTATATCCCGCAGCATCCAATACTTACCTCACATAATGCAGTCTCATTTTGTTTGCTCAGTGTATTAACCTTGCACTCATCTATAGACCCTCCTTCCTGACAACTCTTCAGAACTGTGACACCATCTCCACAATCCAGCTGGACAGTGGTAGCAGTTCGACTCCCCGGTATGAAGTATATAGCCGAGAAACTTACTATCGTTATTATTTGGAATATAATAAAAACTGGTTTTTGTATTTTGTATCTGAAAAGAAAAATATAAATGTACTTTTGTCGGCCTCGGTGGTCTAGTGGTTTATGACACCGCTTTACTTCTGTTGGTCCGCGGATTCAATTCCTCACACAGTACATTTGTATTCATAGGTATAATTGTTTGTATCGGTCTGGGTGTTTTCTATGTTATATTATGTATGTATTTATAAAAAAAAATAAGTATTTATATCAGTTGTCTAATAACCATTACACAAGTTCTGCTTACCGTGGGATAAGATGGCACTATGTTAATTGTCCAGGGTTATTTATTCACTTAAACTTCTAGCTAACATGATGATACATCCATTAAACCCTTCATCCCTCCTTTCAACCCCTTACAACCCTTTTTTGGCATTCAAAAGTAGCCTATATTCATTCTCAGGGTCTAAACTATATGTGTACCAAATTTAATTCAAATCGATTCAGTAATTTTGGCGTGAAACCCTGAGAAACAGACACTTGCGCCTTTATAATATTATTAAAGATTGCAGTAGGTTTTAATATCCATTCTTTTTAGTCTACTGTAGACTAACTTTACAAATAAGAAAAAACGTTCCTAAATTTATAAAGAAAAATAAACAGCGTGCGAAACCGTAGAATACGGTAAAATATTACCGTATTTTACGGTTTTATATGATTACACTACGTATATTATTATTGTCTGTATATGCATATATATTTTTATAGTTCTCTAATCAACTTAGCAATTGTTACTATGATAAACGAGGTGATGTGTGATATGATCCAATTACATTACATATCTGTATTTAATAGACTGAAAACAGCTATGAGTACATATAACATAGCCCATATTAAAGCATTATGTTGATCAGGGCTGACCAACCTTTTTAAACAATGGGCCAATTCAAATTTATTTTGGCGGGCCGCACTGTCTATTTGTATGAACTTTTTTTAACAACGGGCGAATGAAATTTTTTTTTGCGGGACGCACGTTATATGTCGGTTACATGCGGAAGTTATCGTAAACACAACTTGAACCCACAAACATTGTTTTGCCATATAAATTAAAATTGCTATTAAAAAATAAGTGTTTATGATGGAATGCTGAAAATTTAGGGTCGTACGTAATTTTTAACACCATATTATAAGAAAATAAAAATAATGTTAGGGTTGGACAACCCTTATCACTTATGGATATAAAAATAGATAGCCGATTCTCAGACCTACTGAATATGCACATAAAACTTCATAAAAATCAGTCAAGCCGTTTCGGAGGCGTATGGTAACTAACTTAGTTACACGAGAATTATATATAATAAGATTCAATTAAAAATATAAAATAGTAAAGTTTCCGTATTTTAATACAAATGTTCATATGGTATGTTTGTACAAGAAGCTGACAAGTCAGAAACGAGTCACAAAAAATTGTTTCGGTTTACTATACCATCATTTTGTTATAATTAATTTTATTTATTAACAATACATTGATACGAGGAAGTAGATTAAATAAATTCAATTATAAAAATGCTGTGCGGGCCGCATAGACATGTTTTACGTGCCGCAAGCGGACCGCGGGCCGCGTGTTGATCATCCATGACGTAGATTAAGATAAGTACCAAATTGTGAATCGTTTATCAAATAATAAATTGTACAATATAATGGAATTATTATTATCTATGCAAATGTTAATTATTATTATATACATAAATACCTTTTTCGGCTACGAAATACATATGGTTATTGCATACATTTGGTTGCTACGAAATACATTTACAAATATGCATTTGGCACTTTTTGTTGAATAATATGTATTTAATTTATTTATTTCACTAGCTGTCCCCAGAAATTGATAGCCTATGAGTTATTTTGATGTATAAGCTATAGCATTGTAAAGTGAAATTAAAATCAATTCTGTAGTTGTTGCGTGAAAGAGTAACAAACATCCATCCATACTCACAAACTTTCGAGTTTATCATATTAGTAAGATCAATATTATATAAAATCGTAGACAATGCTAGCTTCTGTTATGGACACTAGACAACTGATAGGAATATTGTAGAAAATTTCTTTTGTAAATACATAATATATATAGAAAACACCCAGTCTGATACAAACAATCATACTCATAAATACAAATATATGCATCATGTGAGGAATCGAACTTATAACCATCGTAAGGGAGGCAGTGTGCTAAAATACTAGACTACCAGGGCTATCATATAACACAACATAGTAGAAACAAGCATGATAGTAATGTGATGAAATGACATTGAAGACATTTCCTCTTCGATCGAACCCCCGGCCAATTCAAACGGGCACCGAAATTACGACGGTCAGAAATGAGGTTCGAACCCCTAACGGTGCTCTAAGACTAAGGTTCAGATGCTCCATAAATCGTCCTCGTATCGGAGTTCCATTTGTACTCGCCCCCAATCATTCCGTGAAGGTGTCAAAGCCAGCTGCGGCTAACAGCATTAGAATAGTTCAAAAAAATTATGACACTGTACTAGCCCCCATATCTTTTGGTCAAGCTATAAAGACCAACTGTGGTCAACAGCATTCGAATAGTTTAAAAAAATTATGATACTGTACTCGCTCCCTATCTTTTGGTCAAGCTATAAAGACCAACTGTGGTCAACAGCATTCCAATAGTTTAAAAAAATTATGATACTGTACTCGCTCCCTATCTTTTGGTCAAGCTATAAAGACCAACTGTGGTCAACAGCATTCGAATAGTTTAAAAAAATTATGATACTGTACTCGCTCCCTATCTTTTGGTCAAGCTATAAAGACCAACTGTGGTCAACAGCATTCGAATAGTTTAAAAAAATTATGATACTGTACTCGCTCCCTATCTTTTGGTCAAGCTATAAAGACCAACTGTGGTCAACAGCATTCGAATAGTTTAAAAAAATTATGATACTGTACTCGCTCCCTATCTTTTGGTCAAGCTATAAAGACCAACTGTGGTCAACAGCATTCGAATAGTTTAAAAAAATTATGATACTGTACTCGCTCCCTATCTTTTGGTCAAGCTATAAAGACCAACTGTGGTCAACAGCATTCGAATAGTTTAAAAAAATTATGATACTGTACTCGCTCCCTATCTTTCGGTCAAGCTGTAAAGGCCAGCTGCAGACGACAGCTTTAGAATAGTTAAAAAAAATATGATACTGTACTCGCCCCCTATCATTCGGTCAAGCTGTAAAGGCCAGCTGCAGACGACAGCTTTAGAATAGTTTGAAAAATTATGATACTGTACTCGCCCCCTATCATTCGGTGAAGCTGTAAAGACCAACTGTGGTCAATAGCATAGAACAATTCGAAAAAAATTAAATTGAGTGCACAAAAGTGCATATAATATATTTTTTAATAAACCAAATAATTAACTTACTTATCAGCAATAACACCAAATAGTGGTTTCGCTACGAGTCCAAATATAGGCAGTATTGTATATATGAGACCTACAGTTGCTGATGAAAATCCCAATTGGCGTGCATAGGTCGAAAGGTAGGGCACTAACGGAGCCGTTCCTGTAACAAAGGCAAATGGTTCAAATCAAATCAATTTTATTTGCCATAAACATAGGTTTACATTAGTTGTTATTGTAATATAATGACCCATTATGTTTTGCCTCTTTAGGCAAGCAAAATATTTTATATATTTTGCACGCCTAATGAGGCAAAACATATTGGGTTTTAATAATTAAATAATATTTAGTATTATTTAATTATTTAATAGTTGGGGCAGTAGAGTCCTCGAGTGGCGACCACGGACCGGAAGACGCAGCGTGGGAAGGCTCCAGCAAGGTGGACCGACGATTTGGTCAAGATCGCTGAAAGGCATGGGATGCGTGCAGCGCAGGACCGATCGTCGTGGAGATCTTTGGGGGAGGCCTATGTCCAGCAGTGGACGTCTTCCGGGCTGCGATGATGATGATTATTATTTAATTATTAAAACCCATTTTGTTTATTAAGGCAATTGTGGTAAATGGTTACACAGTTACATGTGTTCAGTAATAACCATTAAAGAATAGAATAGAAAAATCTTTATTCAAATAAACTTATATTTCAACACTTTTGTTGAATTTCCTGTAGAATTTAACTAAATTTTGTTAAAATAAATAATACTTGACCCGTGGAAGTTTGTCTGCATCACACTTACAGCCTAAGTATTATTCTGATGTATACGCTATATACATAAACATCGGTTCAGTAGTTTTGCATGAAACAGTAAGACAACAGTAACAATCATCCATTCATACACACACAAACTTTCTTGTTTATAACATTTGTAAGATTTCTAAAATAAAACCAGGCTAAGTTACTCCTTATAATATTAGCTATCTGTGAGTGAATTCCTGTGAAAATCAATCCAGCTGTTTCAGAGATTAGCAAGAGCAGACAACACAAAAATTTTTTAATTATATTTTTGGTGTAAGTACGACATATAGTTTCATAAAGTATAGTTATATAGTTTCTTTAATAAATTCAAAACATGTGTTAAAACATATTTATTGAGCAAAGCCTATTACTCACTAAATGATTACTTGAATGACGAACTGCATGGCAATAGTTGTTCATGCACTGGATTTTCATTTAATGTTAGACATAGACTACCTACTACCTACTTATATAAATATACATTGTATATAAACTGGCTTTTAAAAGAAAAAGTAATTCAATTGAGTTTCTTGCCAGTTCTTCTTCAATCTATATACCAAACTGGACGTTAGGGAAAAAATTAAAATAATAATGTAAAAATTTTATGTTCATAAGCGCTAAAATGTCCTACATGAATAAATTAATTTTGAATCATATGCATTTAGTGGAAACCTGTCAATATGAAATTACAAACAGACTGTCGACTGAGGTAGATGTACAAAATCATTTGTGGGATTATTGGTAAGAATTGGTGTTTAGAAATTTAACTCACCTGCATTAAATAGGAAAAAATGTAATTTAATTGGCAGTAATCTATAGTTCACTTTCATATTAAAGGATAACATTTAGCTGCAACAAAAGAAAACATATAATTTTCAATCAATTCAGTTGATGTGAAATTACAATGGTTTACATATATATAATCATATACATAATTATACATTTTATCAATACATATATATATATATATATATATAAATTTATTTTATTGATATGATAAATATTTGTATAGGTATCAATGTCATCAAGTTTATTTCGCTTATTTCTTTCCTAATATTTTTATTACTTATATATATGGCTTCATCATTAAAGAACTTAACTTAAAGAAAACTACTATTATTTTAGTCATTTTTAAACATTCTTGTTTAATATATATTATTAAAATTTGCGTCGATTAAAGAAAAGGTGTGATATATTTGAACAAGATAGTCAGACAGATCTGACTTTTTAAGAACGAGGATCTGCTCTGAGAACTGAACTGAGAGCGGCACTCTACCTGTTATATACAGATTTCTACTGTTAAATACACATCTGCTGCTATAATCCTGAAATCGTGACTGAATGCAAGATATCTAATAGGAAAAACAAAAAAAATTATAAACCAGGTCTAACTGACTGTGAGTTGGTTCTCGTGACCATGTCTAGTGCAATCTATAATAGTTTAAACATCAAGAGAAGTATATACCTTTATTTACCTTAAGAATACTCATGTTAAGACCCAGTTTGAAATATAATATTTTAACCTTATTTCTGTCACTAATATTCTTTTTACTTTTAATAAGTTTCAAAATTTATTTCTTACGCAAATCAATTATTATAATATTAGGTTGTTCAGAAAGTAATTTAGTTTTTTCCTATCTTGGGATTTAATTGTATTTTTTGCACTCAACTTCAGACTAAAGCCATATAATTTTTATATGCTTTGAGAGCTCATATAGCAAGGCGTGAAAAATTCCAATTAATTCTACGCGGTAGTTTTCATATGGAGAGGAATAAGCAGCATTTTCGACATATCATACTGTTTTACTACAAAAAGAGCAAAAATGCTGTTCAAGCCAGAAAGAAATTGACCAATGTATGTGGAGAAGGTGTGTTAACAGTACGCCAGTGCCAGAACTGGTTCACAAAATTTCGATGTCGAAGTTGCACCACCCTTGGTAAGGCCGGTTGAAGCTGATAAAGGCATTGGTTGATGCGAACCCGTGAAAATAGAAATTACTTTCCGAACAACCTAATACAATTAGTTATACACCTACAGCACACAATATGGCACACATTGACTGCTACATAAGCTGTAAATTGAGAATAACAATTTTGAGAAAACTACTTCAAATGTGCTCCTACTAATATGGTAGAGTGCACTATGGCTCATCCGTCATACTTGTGAATGGGCGCTGCTTGTGGGGACTGGTCTGTTCTTATTACGAACACTGATTAGACTTGTTCCTTTTGCAATAGCATACGCTGGTAGTCACTCTATTCTCCCAAATTTGAATTTAAATGAATATGTATTATTGTATTATACAACATTTATTTGACGAAAGATTACGAGCTGAGTTTCTTGTCAGTTCTTCTCATCTCAAAATCATTCCGAACTGATGGTAGATTTGACATATCATAAGAGTCTGTAATAGACCTACATGAATAAAGATATTTTAAAAGTGAATTTTAATTAGAAGTGATTTTCTCAAAGTTGTTTTTCCTAACTTACTGTAGATTTTCAGTGCAGCAGTACAACCATCTGTGGCATAAGCTCAGATTATGGGAGGAGAAATATTTTTCCAGTGAGCACATCTATCTAACTATATATAAAATGTCACTTTAGGCATGTGATGATTATCATTTTCCATTACGCTTCCAAGAGTTCTGCTCTTATATTAATCAGATCCAATTAAAGAGCATAGTAAAATAACTATATACTAGTTAGACACTTGGATATTGATGAATTATTTTTCATTAAAGAGTTAGATCACTGTAGCAAACAGATTCATATAAAAAAAGTATTTAAATATAATATTTAAATTATTAAAAACGCTGTACGTAGCGTTAATGCAATTTACGAATATTATAATATACATGAAACAATATTATATACGTTTTGAGTCATAATTTAAAGTTTCAAGCTAGCGAAAATATAAACTTATTTCATTCTTAAGAAACTAATAATAAAAAGGTAAGGTAAGCCTGTAGCAGTAATTATTCTAAGTGGATAATATGGCTTTAATCTCCTGTTAATACAAACCTTGTACAAAGAAAACTACCTACTTTTAAATTGCAGAAACACTTCCTTATAACAACCGTTTCTAAAATTGCCGACAAAACTGTAATTTTTCAAATGAAAATTAATATTCAATACACTTTACACTCCTAAGTAATTATAAACACTTCGGTCATTGTACTGTACAGAAAAGATTATATATTTAATACTTTATTTACAATTAAAAAATAATTCTAAAATTCTAATTTCATAACCTACTATTCAAAACATGTTCACAATTCAATAAATGTGATATGACTGACAAGAGCAGACAAGAGTGACAAGTAGCCACAAGACACGAGTTATATACTGACATTTTATACTGACAATCCAACTGATAGATACTGACGTACTGACAAGTGGACAAAGACACGAGTTATATACTGACGTTCTAATACTGACAAATAAAGTGACAGCAAATGCTGAAGTTTAAAAACTGGCAATAAGGCAAAGATATAAAATTATACTTTTTTTTCTGGAAATTGCATAAGTGTGCAAAAAAGTTTATCAACACACATTGACACTACAAATATTTAAAATTTTTATTTATTACTAAGGTTTAAATTTTAGATAGATATTATGTTGACACTAAAAAAAATATGACTTCTTTTCTATAATATAGTGAAATATACGGGGATAATATAAATAAAATTAGCAGTGAGTGTTATTTTAATTTCAATTACATTTATTATGTTCAATAAAGATTATAAGAACAAGAATTACTACCATCGTTGTTTTTTTTTGTACTGACAAGGATTTTAATCACAATCTGGGGCGGATCTACCTACGGTTTTTACGGGCTGCATTCTAGGGCCCCAGCCACCACTGAAAACAATAGGCTATATTTAGATTAAAAAAAACTATCACAAGGCTGACAACAATGAGATTAATCAACCAATGGATGTGCGCGTCTATCGAACAGAATAGGGAATTCCCTGACACTGTTTTTGGTGTGTATTTTTTTAGTTGAGTATTATCCCAGCGCCCCACTAATTCACGATACCCCTGATCACTACATGGTCTTTACAGGGGAGCCTAAACACTGCTTTTCTTTTTTATTGAAGAAATATATTCACTATTCTATAATCAGAAAACACAAATATTTGCCGCAATAGTGGCGCGAATAGCCATTAAATTAGGGCCAATAGACTAGCAGCCACATCTAGTATAAATACCCGTAGAAATACATATAAAAGTAGGATGTTTTCTGTCGATTTATTGTGGATTTACAGTAGTTGTAATAGTAGTATGTGTGAGGGAATTTCTGAGGAGCCTCTGAGAAGTTCAGAGGTTCTTCAGAACTCCCTCACTTTAATCCTTCGAACCATTTTGACACAGTTCTGTGAAGCTCTCTTAAACCGTATTACCGCCCGTAAAACCATGACTTCTTTTTAACCAATTTTATCCTTATTCAAAACAATATAAGACAAACGTATTTGGAAAAAGTACAACTGGCGCGCGCTTACCGCCTCTTCATTCTCGATCGCTGCGACAGACGACGGACATTCGAAAGGTTAACAGAGTAACTTTAGTGGTGTTCAAGTAAACAACATAAAATAATAGATAAATAAAATATATTTCTGATCAAGATAAAAACACGTTTTATACAAAAATATAGATAAGTTATATGGATACATCAATACGATGGCAGACAAGATGACATAACACACTCTCTTTTCAAATATTCAAACATACTTATATTCGTTTTTTTATGTATACTCATACTTCGATTGCAAGCCGTTCTAACAGTATGGCATAATTGTGTTATTAAAATTAAACAATCGTTAAATTTCAAATAATAATATTATATACACAAACTGACTAGTTCTAAGCTAAGTATTTTTACAATAATTTGAATTAGTCGATTATAAATGGTTTAGGATAACTTTAAAATTTATTTACAATACTAATAGAATAACTTAAGTTACAGATAATATAATCGTAATAAATATCCAGACTGCCACCGAGTTCAGCGCCAAATACTTTGCGACTAAGCCTATTTACAAAGAAAATGTTATAGTCTTTCGTTGAGAGATTCAAATATAGTTTAAGATGAATAATAACAATACCAATATTACTTTAAACTACATATTTTATAGTCATGTCGCTTCTGTAATACATCTAAATCTTATATTTCAATGTTTGAGAAATTAAAATGGAAGTTCACTATTCACAATAATACGCATAGCAACACTGACGCGATAAGAATAATAAACGTAACCAGAGTCGTAAAACTAATAAAGAAAAGAAGCGTGATTTTTGCATATTTTTTATAATTGTCAATTATTAAAAACATTTCTCTAAAAGTTAGATATACATATTGTTACTGTGTATATCGTTAGAACTACGGTTAATGTTTAAGACAGACATAAACTTATCAGTTATTAAGTAAAGTTAGGTTAAGTTAACATGTTATATTGTTTTCTATGAAATCCCTAGCATAAATTAGATTAGTAAGCCGCCCTAAAAAGCTTTTACCCCATTACTTGGGAGTTTCTACCCCTGGAGTCAATGCCTGGACAAAGGGACCCCGAGGTCCCAACCTTCAATAATCAATCACTGTGTAGTACATGTTGATTTTTATGTTTGAGTATATATTGAGCGATGACGTGTAAGACACAGAAGACGAGAGAACCGATGCCAAACCAGCGGAATGTGATCCAACCACCATAGGAGCTGTAAAGTTGACCGCCGATCATGCTTCCTATAGATGTACCCACACCTTCATACATTGCTCCCACAAATCCCTGTAATATAAAATAATGCATACAAAATAAAATGTTTTAATAAAACATCTCGATCTGTGTATTGTTAAAATCACACATGTTATGAACCCTTTTCTTTCTTTTTATCTTTTCTTTTCTCTTTATTCCACCAGCTTCACGCTAAAAAAAAGAAGTATTACACTATGTTTTTTTATACTGAACTGAAGGGAAGCTGAACCGTCGTCCGAATCCGTCTGACGGATACAACTTGACCTCGACCTCCAGGCGGTTCCCCATGGAAACAGTTGTGATAAATTCCTGGTGAATTTGTCACGATGGGCTAACTGACCTGACCTCATGTTCATCTTGTTATCTTCCACTAGTGCCACGCCAGCGTAAACTGTTAGCGCAGGTAGGTGCACCTTCTATACTAGAGTGTGTATATACAGCTGCAATAGCAAACTCCTATCAAACTTTAGACAGAAAGAGAACTATTTTTTTATACTATGATGGTGGCAAACAAGCATACGGCCCGTCTGATGGTAAACGGTTACCGTAGCCTATTGACGCCTGAAGCACCAGGAGAGTCACGTGCGCGTTGCCGACCCTTAAGAAACCTTAATATACCCTTCTTGAAAAACCCCCGCTGTAGTCTCGTGAGAAAACCACGGCAGGAAGTTCATTCCACAACCTAAGTGTACGCGGGAGGAAGCTCCTCTGAAACCGCACTGTCCGAGACCACTTAGGTTCGAGCGTGTAGGGATGAATTCCCTGTCGATGGCGAGCGGTGCGATGGTAAAAGATGGTTTCCACTCCACTGTCGAATGTCACTTGACATTGGAGTGGAAAGTGTTAATATTATAAACGCAAAAGTTTGTAAGTATGGATGGATGTTTGTTACTCTTTCACGCAAAAACTACTGAACAGATTTTGTTATATAACTTTACAGTAATGTAGCTTATACATCAGAATAACACATAGGCTATAAAATTCATGCTGATGAAACCGAGGGTATAGCTAGTGCAATAATTTGACAGATAAAATCAAATACTTTTTTTTCATACTGGCACATGAATTATAAAATAGCTTGCATGTAAATATTAATTAAAGACAACCGACAGTGTTGTTGATCTACTGATTTACCAGTCACGAGTTCGATTCCTCGCACGGTACATACATTTGTAGTCATGAGTATGATTGTTTATAACGGTCTGGGTGTTTTGTATGTACATTATGTACGTATTTAAAAAAAAATGACCTGTTGTCTAGTACCTATAACAGTTTCTAACTAGATGGCGCTAGTTAATTTTAAACTTTCGTGTTTAAGACTATATTATCCGCCCTCAAAAGTAATGAACAATTTATGTTCATCAAAGGATAAGCTACCTTACGAAGCTCCAGGTGTCTACAAAATTGACTGTAGTTGTGGTAGCTCTTATATTGGCCAAACAAAACGATCAATAGCCGAGAGAGTCAAAGAGCACATCGCAGCGGTTAAAAATCCACAACCACACAAATCAGCGATTGCCGATCATCTACTGAACGCAGGAACAAATCACTGGATTGAACTACATGCGCCTAAGGTCCTCTCTACTGATCGCCACTATTACCCACGAATGGTCCGGGAGGCGATTGAAATTAAAAAACATCCCAATTTCAACAGAGAGGATGGCTTAAAATTATCATCTGCGTGGAATCCAGTCATAAATAAATTCAAGCAAAGTTCAGTAGCATCAATAGTCAATAAGTGTACGGATACCGTGAGTGCTGTGTGTCGCGAACTTTCGTTAAACAATCTAGTGACGGTAGATGAAGAAAAAACTGCTGTCACCTATCTACATTGACATCGCTGTTACTCCAGTCAGCTCGTGACCACGGCTAGTGCAACCTAGTCGAAACGTCGAGAGAGGTAAATACCTTTATTTGCCATAAAATTATTCGTGTTAAGACCCGGTTAATAATTTAAATAGATGGCGCTATATGAATTGTCCAGGATTATTATAATTATGTTATATGTTATTATAATCGAATCATTTGTGTTTTTGTATATAATTGTATGGTTTGGTTAATTTGTTTCAGCCAGTGTCAAAGGGGCTGTTCAAGTATTACGTAAGCATTCTTTCTTTGATTTGCTTATTTTGGATGACATGGGGGTAGGGGAGTCTAGATGATGATCACATCATTGGTAGTTATTTACTTTTTCATACGAATGGCAACCCCCACACTTGTGTTTGCAAAA